AACACCTGCCCGGCGCAGCTCAGAGCTTCATCATCCCGCCATCCCTTTGTCTCATTCGACCCGGCATCTCAACGTCGGGCCGGCGGAAAACTGTGAAAGCAGCACTTTTGTGCTCATTTGTTGTCCGTACACAAAAATTTGTGTCCGGATGACATCCGTCCCCCATGTCTCCCACATCTGTCCCACCCTTTTTTTCTTTTTTCCTCGCCTAGGAGGGAGAGCCATGACGCCCACAACCGCTTTGGTGTTGCACACATGACAAGAAAGGACTTTCACATTGGGAGGGACATGACGCCATATACGACAGGAAATCCTTCCGTCAAGTCTTTTATTACCAAGCATACTGAGGTAATGCTTTCATGGGCAGGGTCTGTTTTTTTTTTTTTTTCCTATGCTGGGGTGTCCACAAAAATGAGCATAATTTCTGTCGAACTTATAGGTTGGTACAGTTTTGTGCTGACTAACGTGTATCATCATGCACACACAGAAAAATATAAACAATAAATCTTGGCAAATACAAAATAAAAAGTTAAATACACAATTGTGAAGACCAGTCACGCTGAAATAGACACGGAATCCTGAAAAATCCTCGTGGAGGGGTGGCACATACTGTAGGCCAAGGAAGAAACCGACACTGGGATGCTTTATAACACAAGAGACAGGACCACCTCTTTAAAAATTGACAGGTACAATTTCATAATAACTTGCATGCAAGAAAACATTTCTCCTTTACACACATGGACAAGCAGATATGATCGGCCTCATGCAACTAGTACGTAGACCCCCCCCCCCCCTTCGTGTATGATCAGTGTGACAAAAAGGCAGATGAGTTGTGTGATGGTCACATGACTTTGGAAGTGCACATCAGGGTTATTATGACCGGACGCGTGGAGAGCGGTGAGTCTCTCCATTTGTTTTCCTCCAGGCAGTCAATTAGCGGCCTCGTGTCGGAGCTGTAAATAAAGGTTTTTATTACAGCACACTATCTTCGCCTCATCAATAGGCTGATGCATTGGACTCTTTCCGAGCACTGGCTCTCCTCCTGCCGTTTTGCACTCAAAACAAAGCAAGACGGTAAAGGTCATTGGCTGGATTTAGTTGGTAATTCACATGGACTTTCGCGAAGTCTTGCAACACAAATACACCAAATTCCTTCGCTGGAATGTTCATTTTGGAAAGGGAATTGACAAAAAGGGACATTTTCTGTCTCTTCACTTGAGAAATAGATACATTCCTGACCTATGGCTCATTCAAAAGAGATTTGTCCAGGCTTGCTTGACAGTGTCAATATGCCGTGTCAAGCACTACTTCATGTATCAACTTCAAAAGAATCAGTCAGTATTAACATACAAAGTAGGTGCATCACTGCCTGTGGATTTATGAGTGAAAATATGAGCATATGGGAGTCTCTTCAGGGCAATCTTCAAAACAAACGTCTCGTCAACGTGAAGAGATTCAATGATCATCCGTGCAGAAAGAAGTCATACAAATCATGAATACCCTGCAGAATGTGTTGCTCATTTAAATCGAACAACCAAATATTACATTTAAACATATTGTAAGGTTAGGTGAATGTTTTGTTTTTTTTATAAGGTGAAGCCTGATATCAACTAGCAATGAAAAAGCGGAAATGCACATCTCCTGTATGTAATTAGTGAGGGGATAGACTGAATGTTTTCAATTTAAATGCAATTTAAATCTAAGTCGCAAGTGCCATCAACACCTGAGGCATTTCATTTATTCTATACATCCTCTGTTGAATGCAAATATGCCCACATCGGTTTCACAGAAGCAACAAAACAAAAAAAATGCAAGGCTACACCAATCTCCTGTAAATTGAATGCTGATTCTATTTATATTTGCTGTGATTTACACCCCGTTTCCTCCATGCGAGTGAACAGGAAACAGATGCAAGGAATTGTTCTTTCCCTGAATTCCTCCGGGAGCGATTGTAGTCAACACCGACGTGTGAGACCGGCTTTGTACTTGCATGTGAAAAGGTGTAGACAGAATCTAAATGGACTGCTTGGTTTCCCTCTTCTGGATGTCCATTTCCTCACAGTTTCCATGTGCGTATGTCCGTCTGGCCAAAACACAGGTTATCGACTGCAGGTTCGCTCCCTGATGTGCATGTGGAGCCAAGTCCAAATCTCATTGGGACAAGGTCAGCGACATACAATACAATAACAATCTAAACAGAAATAAATAGATAGGGAACTTTCAAAATGGATCCTTCATGAAAATCGGGATTCACCAAGTATTTTGCTCATTAGAAGAAAGTGTTCCCGATCATGGCACAATGATGGCAACAAACAAGCAAACAAATATAATTAAAATTGGAGACGATTGCCAGACATGTCATCACAAGGGGGAAATAACCATTTCTTGTCTGACAACCGCGTTTGGCATCCGCATGTTGTGAGGAAGGAGAGCGAAGCTTTGCCTTTTCATGGACCATGCTGCCATCTAGTGGAGCTTAAAAATATAGATGTGTTTCGATATGTATAAGCTCTTGTAGATAGATAGATCGATAGATAGATATGTTGATATTGTTGTCTACGGGTGTCATAATGTTTCAGTGGCATTTTGCCTATTCTGTCGACTCAACACAGCCACAAAGCAGGAATACAATGAAATAGAAGCAAGTAACAGGTTAGTTCACGTCAAACAGTGATTCTATGAGGGTAGTGGTACGCGGGCTTCCTCTAGTGGTTTCTGAAATCATGACTCCCTCACCGCAGTTCAGTTACCTCAATTTTTTTTTAGATTACAACGTATGTGCAATACATATTAATTAGATATTTACTCAAGCACTGTTTTTGTTCCTGGCTGATTGCATAACAGAGGCAATCAGCATTCGAAATTTGAGGATGGCTTCCGTTTGATTTGTTGAGCTTCTTTTCTTCCACACATCACTTTTGACTCTTTCACACACTATTTTTGATCTTCCATTTTTTTCTGTCTACCTGAGTTGTTTTTTTGGGATAATTGTTTTAAGTAAAGGTGTTTTGGAGTAATAAGAGCACTATTTTAAAGTGTTTTTCTGGTATCTGTCAGTTTTTGAGTGTGTTTGTGTGTGCGTGTGTGTTTGTGTTTTATTATGAGTGTGAGGGGTTTTTTTTACAGTGAAAGGGGGCATTTGGTTGTATGTGAAAGTGTGCGGCGTGAGTGAGAGTTACTTGTTTGTGGGAGGCTTTGTTGTGAGTGTTTTTAGATGCGTGTCAAAGTGTTCAAAGTGAGGGAGTTTTTTTTAGTGTGTGCATGTGAGAGGTATTTGGGTGTGTGTGAGCATTATTTTGTTGTATGTGACAGGCTTTATTGGGTAAGTGTTTGTGAGAGGTTTTTTTTATCAGGCTGAGAAGTTTTTTGATATGTGTGAGAGTTTATGGTGTGCTTGAGAGGTAAATTAGAGGTCGGTTATTTTTGGCTGATACAAGGCCTCCTAGTTTTTATCGAATCACTTGTGACCCATGAGTAGTAGGCTTATACTCACATCATGTCATCAGACAAACACACATAAACACACACACGCACATACTTGTCTGAAGATTTACTGTACATGCTATTTTTGCTGACGTGTCGCTACACAGCCATTGCTTACCACCAGATATACAGCTCACCATAATTTGCAGGTGTAAAATGGCTATAAAGCAGTATGAATTATTGAATATACCTTTTAAGTGCAGCGTTTTCGTCCGCGCAAGAATTCCTTCGCCTACGCCCGCATGTGATTCGAGGGTCTGCTTTATGACACAAAGCGTTACAAGCAAGGAAGGATTGTTAAGACCTTTTAATGAAAGCCATGAAATATTAATTTGTATTCTTTATTTTTTCCCACGCTACTTCTTTGTACCAAATGAATAGCTCAATAACAGAACAGGTGCCTAAGAAGGCCGCATCTTTCAAAATGTGCGGCACAAAATTACAAATGGGGGCTTTCTATTCAGACATTATTCATCAGGCTCACTGCACTCCGTGCTGATGATCGTAAGTTTATAACTTCTATTGTCGGTGTGAAAAACTAACATACCTGCCCTGTTAGTTTATGATCGCTACAGACCAGGACTAATACATCAGATTTATTTATATGGTGTGACACAAGCACTAAAGCAAGTACATTCATCAAATGCACGTAGGCTTTCAGTCTACTACACTGAAATGCTTGGCAAGAAACCAAAATTCAACGTTTAGCTGCAGCAAGTAGAACTAAAATGTATTTCTGTGGCATTTTTTTCCCCCCCACAGATAATAATCACATATGGCTTGATGGGGCGGGATACTAATACAAAAACAATTTGTATACCTGACAATAGGGCAATATAACTATGATTTGATGACAATTTAGTTATCATTAAATGTTGTGGTGGTGAAGAAAACGAGAAAATCTTCTATTTGATGTTAGCTTTCATCTCCGAGCTATAACTGCTGTCACAGAGGCACGGGTCAAAATAGAAGACATGTCTGCATTTGGGCTGATTATAAATATTTAGCGTTAACAGTGTCAGAACAGCATTAGCCTTTTTTATTGGGGTTGTATTTTCCTCACCGAGGACAATAAAGTTAATGACAAGTATTGTCTGAGCCATAAAGCAGTCATATATTTGGACGTGCTGGTTAGGCTCAAGCAGGCTTTGTAGCATCTGGCTAATAGATCTTACACATCCAGTCGTGCTTATCAGAAGATCTAAGGACGCAAATACTCTGTCATGTTTCCCCCATTACAGATAGGAGCTTTAAAAAAATATTTATTGCACCGAATCATCACATTACGTCGTTTTCTTCATGTACCGTCAAGAAGCAGTGGACATAAATCCCTTTACAGCACGTTTTTTCTTTTCGTTATTTTTTTTTCTCATAATGGTTATTTATTTGGCATTGTGGATGAGTGCTGAGCACGGTTCTGAGGTTGGGGGTTCCTTTGTGTGTGGAGTTTGCATGTTCTCCCCATGCTTAGTGGGCTAGCCCGGATTCCAAAAGCTTTCATGTTAAATTAGTTGAAGACTGGGTAGGAGGAAAGATGTTACAAGGATATATGGAAGGAAGAGATAACATAAGGATAGTCTGAAAGAAGGGATGGGGGGAAAAATACCACATAAATATGGAAGGAATGAGGGAGGCGAGAAAGGATGGATGGAAAGAAGGGATGATAAACAGAAGGATGAAGGGAACGCTAGCTAGAAAGAAAAGGATGGCATGGGAGGAAAGGAAGAAAGAGTGATGAAAAAGAAAGTGAGGGTGAAAGAAAAGACAGTAACAAGGGTGCGTGAAAAGAAAAGGGAAAGGGATAGAAGGAAGAAAAACATGGAGAGCATTCAAGGACGAAAACAAGGATGGTATGAAAGGGAGTAAGAAAGGTTACAAGGATGTATAAAAGGAAGATTGGAACAAGGATGAAGTGGGGATCACCGCCACCTGTAGGGTCTCCCACAAGTCCTACATACCCTACTTAGAAGTCTTAACCTTTGTTCAAAATACTGACCCTCGTTTGAAACCATAGCTACATCCCTGAGACCTGTTTAGAAACCCATTTTGAATCCCAGTTTAGAATTTACGATATTAAATTGTTAAATAAATGTAACCGTAATACGTAAGTGTAATTTAAAAGTGGTTCCAATAAATAACTGTACAGTATACGTAATCTTGGCCCACTCAGTACACATTTTTCAAAAAAATTCTGGCCTTTTTGTTCAAGCGCGTGATATTTCTCAACCACTAGATGGCGCAAGTTGTTTGTGTTATACTGTATGTGGTTGCCTTCGCAGCAAACACGAAAGATGCCGTTCGAAAAATATGTCGCTTTAAGGCGAAACAACTTCTGAATGTAATATTTTCACACCAGTCTTGTGCTGCTTTTGGTTGCGAGTCGACGAAGGAACTGTCTCGAACGCTCATATGACGTATAGGTTGGATATTGTCACGTGACCAGCTCCGCCTCTCAACTAAAATGGACATCAAAATGGAGGTCGGGATTTATGCATCTTTTCCTCTCTAATTCGTCATACGTTTGCATGTCGAGGTGATGGCGTCATCACAGCGCTAAACACGATGACAGATGTGACGTGCCGTCTTTCATCTGTGCTCTTTGTTGCTCGGGGTTGAAAGCTCGCCGTGTGGTTTGAATTAGCATGTGGGCTAGAGCTAGCGGTAGCGCTTGGCGAGCACGAAGCTGTGAGGGCGCCACGACTTTTTTTTTTATAATAACCGTTTTAAACTTGTACCGTTTAAGACGATAGCTCAAAGATTGTATAATTAACAATTTAATATGTGAATGTTTTGGTTAATTAATCCAGGTCGTGTGCAGCGCGTTTTAAAAGCGACGAGCCTTGTAATGACATTTGCTCTGTAATATTAAAGCATTGTAGTAAACATGGTTTGCCCAAATTAGGTACTGGATTGTATACCCTTCTAAAATTAAACTTTTTGGGATCTGCGAATAATCTGAAGAACAAAGACGGTGGATCATAAGCAGTTCTAGGCAGGGACCGAAAGAAGGCAGAGTAATCGTTGCAAGCAAAGACAGGAAAGATGCAGATTATAAAGGGGCGTGGAAGGAAAGAAGAAAAAAGCAGGTCTGTGGTGGAAGGAAGGGAGGTAAGGAAGGCAGAAAAACAGGTTTAAGTGCAGGAAGAAAGGATGTAAGGTTTGATGAGTAAAAGCCGGTCGAAAGGAAGGAAGTAAGGTAGGTTTCAGAAAAGGAAAGATTGAAATTTGAATGCCGGAATATAAAGGAACTCTGAGGGAAGGAACAAAGTCAAGAAGGAAAAAGTGGCCAGAAAAAAATGTAAATGTGTTTTTATTAAACTCACTTAAAATGTGTACAATATTCCCCCATTATGTCGTGGTCCTGCTGTATTGTAGCTTTTATTACCCTGTTTTTACAGTTGGTACTCTGTCACTTGTGTTATCCACTGCTGCTGCTTTCTCTCAATGTGGAATAATCCGTTTAAATGTGTTTGTGTTGTTTTTAAAAGTGTTTAAAGACTAGAAATGTTAGGAAACATGGCTGGGGTGTCTTTAAATGGGATACTGTATTTGTATTTCTATCGTGGATTTTTGCATATTCTGGAAGGTAAGTCCCTGCGATGGTGGGGGACTTGCTGTATATGCCTACTTTTTTGTCCACACTGTTTGTCGTGTTGTCTTACTGAAATGTGGTGATGTAGTTAAAATTACATTTACAAAGTTGAGAGTTGCGTTGTTAACTACACACATCGTTAGGAATGACATTGTTAAGATGCGGGGTATAAATTCAATATTGGGGTGAATTGATAATGTTAGAGGGATGTTATCAGCATGTTTATTATTGTGGTTGTATTTGCGTCGAGGCGAAATATTTACTTATTTTATGCAATTCACCAATCATAGTGTTATTACATTCACATTTACACTTAATAAACATTAAATTAATTCCTCTCATTAAAACAACTTTGCTTTGGCATCTTTTTTTTTAAATGTGTGATTCATGTTGTGAACTCTGTGTGCTTTCTGTGTTTTTTTTAATGCCACCATACTTGGTGTTGAACGTGCAGGACCGTGACTGCAAAGAACCGGAGCAGCTCAGGAAGCTCTTTATTGGTGGCCTGAGCTTTGAAACTACAGAGGAGAGTTTACGGGCCCATTTTGAGCAATGGGGAACACTGACGGACTGTGTGGTATGTTTTATGTTAAACTAATTTCTTTACATACACACACACATACACACATATATACCGGTGTGTGTGTGTGTGTGTGTGTGTGAGAGAGAGAGAGAGAGAGAGAGAGAGAGAGAGAGAAATTCTTGAATAAAAGGTCTATGGACAATAGTTATTTCATCAGTGTATTTTATGACACAACCGTGTTGTATTCCTCAGGTGATGAGAGATCCCAGCAGCAAACGGTCGAGAGGCTTTGGCTTCGTGACCTTCTCCTCCATGTTGGAGGTTGACGACGCCATGAAAGCAAGGCCTCATAAAGTAGACGGCCGAGTTGTTGAGCCCAAGAGGGCCGTGTCCAGAGAGGTACCCGAATTGCACAGCAGGCGCTCGCGTGACACGCGTGTATGATTGTGGTGATCACTCTTGCTTCAGGACTCCAATAAACCAGGCGCTCATCTGACAGTGAAGAAGATCTTTGTAGGCGGTATCAAGGAGGACACCGAAGAGTACCACATCCGAGACTATTTCAAGAAATACGGCAAGATTGAATGCATCGACATCATGGAGGAACGCTCTTCGGGCAAAAAAAGAGGCTTCTGCTTTGTCACCTTTGACGATCATGACACTGTTGACAAAATTGTCGGTATGTGATTAATTGCTTGCCATCAAGACTCTCGAAGGGATGTTGTTAATGTGTTTTCACCGCTGCGATTTGCCCTGAAGCTCAAAAATACCACACCATCAACGCGCACAACTGTGAGGTCAGGAAAGCGCTCTCGAAGCAAGAAATGAACGTCATGTCGAATAACAGGGGTAAGCATACATTCCATGAGATAAAACATTTCTCCTTTGCATGTACTGTGTACTATCTTTAATTTGCCCATTATCTCTCTTTTAGGAAGGAGTGGAGGCTCTGGTAACTACATGAGTCGAAGTAATAATTATGGAGGCGGTGGCAGCTACGGTCGAGGTGTGTTGTCTTTCTAAGACACTTAAATGTACAACACGGGAGTGTAATTTTATTGATACGAATTCAGCTGCATAACGAATGGAATCGAATCAAATTTGTCATTGCACTTCACAAGTACAGAGCAATGAAATCCACTTAGTTACAACCCGTCCAAGAGACGGAAAAAAAAAAAGAGAGACCAACTGATTTTCTTTATATGAAAAAGAAAAAGAAAACCACAAGGAAGAGGGAGGGGGGAAAACAAGTCACAAACTATGCTCCGAAAAGCGAGGGGCACAGTCCCGGTTTGGAAATAAAACCTCGGCAAACAGCCACATGAACAGAATTCACAGCAAACGACAACCTAAATACTTGCACGGGTGGAACATATTGATTTTAAAACAGTGTGTCAGTCAAGCACAATCAGTTCATTAATGCTTGTCAACGTTTGATTAAAAAAAAGTTTCATGAATGCCTAAAGATGGCAGCAAAGCCCTACTTTTGTGAAGATGAAAGCTCAACTGAGGCACCTCACTTGGTTGCATCGGCTTGAACACAAAAAAAGCAATACGACAGCTATTTCGGGATGATTGAAGGATCAAAATTGCAGATTTACAAATGACTCCCATTCGGTCTTTCATCATAATAACACCGATTTTGTTTCTCAGATAACTATGATGGAGGGCGAGGTGGTTATGATGATTTTGATGGTGAGTAAATAGGTTTCAAGTTGTGTTTTTAGGTTGAACAGACATGAACTATCCTGTTACATTTGTTCCCTTTTTTTTTTTAGGTCCTCGTGGTAATTATGGTGGAGGAGGAGGCTACGGAGGACGAGGGGACTATGGAGGCGGCTATGGTAATCAGGGTGGTGGATTTGGTGGCGGCTGTGATGGAGGGTACCGAGGTAATGGTGGAGGTAAAGCCTTTCATTATCTCCTGAAAGACCTCGTACAGTGGAGCCTCTCAAAAGTCGCTGATGTGTCTCACGTCTCACAATTGGCGGCTAGCGGGAGGAGCAACCTAGCACTTTACGTCTTCCTTCCTTACTCAAACTTGTCAAGCGTCGCAAAGAGATGGACTCAAATACACGACCGAAGTCACAGTCAAAATAAAAAAAGCAATACGACAGCTATTTCGGGATGATTGAAGGATCAAAATTGCAGATTTACAAATGACTCCCATTCGGTCTTTCATCATAATAACACCGATTTTGTTTCTCAGATAACTATGATGGAGGGCGAGGTGGTTATGATGATTTTGATGGTGAGTAAATAGGTTTCAAGTTGTGTTTTTAGGTTGAACAGACATGAACTATCCTGTTACATTTGTTCCCTTTTTTTTTTTAGGTCCTCGTGGTAATTATGGTGGAGGAGGAGGCTACGGAGGACGAGGGGACTATGGAGGCGGCTATGGTAATCAGGGTGGTGGATTTGGTGGCGGCTGTGATGGAGGGTACCGAGGTAATGGTGGAGGTAAAGCCTTTCATTATCTCCTGAAAGACCTCGTACAGTGGAGCCTCTCAAAAGTCGCTGATGTGTCTCACGTCTCACAATTGGCGGCTAGCGGGAGGAGCAACCTAGCACTTTACGTCTTCCTTCCTTACTCAAACTTGTCAAGCGTCGCAAAGAGATGGACTCAAATACACGACCGAAGTCACAGTCAAAATCAAACCTACAAAAATAGTCACCGCGCAAATCAGCAATTAGCAAAACACGTCTGTTCAGTGCTGCCGGACTTACCTGACTGTCTTTATACTGAAATTATATTACAGCAACACTGAACTAAATTAGTTGGACATACCTGGAATCTTTTGCATATGCCGCTTCGAAGCAATCATAGAAGTCATTTTTCTCATGTGTGGAGTGTATTAAGATCTAGGCTGTCATCTTGGGAAATAGTCATCAGGTGTGTCAAAGCAACATTATTGCAATAGTAGTGTAGTTACCAAATAAGCTAACAATTAGCCTAATTTCAATTTCTTCTCCAACTACTTTGCGTTTTCCGACTAACAGGTCAGTCTTGGTAACAAACATCATGTGGTGTGCTGTGTTGGCGACCGTAATGAAGGTTTTTTTCCTTCCTCCAACTCAAGCCTTTCCAAATTGAAAATTGCCTACTACCACATTTTGATGTCGATTTGAATTTGATGAATTGTCCAGCCCTTGTTTTCCCCCGTCAGTCCACTTCATGGTACCTTGCATGACATCATCTTATCATATTCTTTTCGGAGAAAGTGTCCTTTCATACTGGTTGTAATGAGTTCTACTGAGGTGCGGTGATGTCATGACTTGTCACAGTTCGTAGTCCAAAGTTTGCATTCTCTAAATTTGACTCGATGTAAGGCTCTGTAGAATTGAGGTTCCACTGTAGCTTTTCGAGAGAATTATTGTTAATGGCTGCTTCAGCTTACCTGAACTCCATATTTGCTGTCAGGTTACGGCGGGGGCGGAAATTACAATGATTGTGGTAACTACGGTGGCCATCAGTCCAGCTACGGTCCGATGAAGGGAAACAATTTTGGTGGCAGAAACTCTGGTGGACCATACGGAGGTGAGTCGTCCTCACCGGAGTAAAACAGCAACGCGTAATCAAAACTTAAGTGTTGTATTTAATTCTCAGGTGGCTACGGCTCCGGCAGTGGCGGGGGCTACGGCTCGCGGCGCTTTTAAACGTTACATCGGTAAGTTTGGATCGGCTGTCACAGTGACCCTCATAGCCAAGAGTAAGAGTAAGCCCATTCAAGTGCAGAATAACTTGTTTGTTCTATCCTGTATCCATTCAACAGGCTTCAGTTCTTAGCAGGAGAGTCGAGGCGGTGAGCAAAGGAATTGTCAGGAAAGCTGCAGGTTACTTTGAGGCATTAGCGGAGCACACGAGTCAGACTGTTTATGGAAAAAGGACTGTACATTCAAATCAAGACATTGATACTTTATAATGCTGATTTTTTTTTTTTGTTTGTTTTTTTTTTTTGCCTGCAAAGCAACTGTTTGGGTGTTGTGCAAGGTGTTGAGCGATTTCTTTTTCTAATCCAAAGCCCGTTGTTTATATCTTGTATTTTTCATTGTTTTACAAGGCTTAGAATGAACCTGGTTTTTGTCCTTTCAGCATAGTTCCTCAGATGAGTTAAGTGTCTTTTGATTCTTGTATGTGAACACCGGTTAAAACCTTCCAAGTGTCTGGAATTAGATTTCAGGGAATTCTAGTTTGTGCAAAGCCCAAATAAAAAAAAAAATGGTGTAGTGAAGTCATGTGAGATTGTGTTGTCTGCCTGATGTACGCAATTACCTACGAGGCGACGACGAGTAGCCCTAAGCCATCTAGAGTCGCATTAGAGGAGCGCCCCGAGTGCCTGCAGCGTGACGGTCAGACAGCGCGTCTTCAGCCAGCGCCAGCACAGTGGACCAGTCAGCATTGTGAGTGTGAGAGAGGGGAGGAGGAGCCAGCGCAACGCCGGCATGGAGGAAGCTCGCAGAGTCAAGGCTAGCTAAACCTTCCTGAAGCCAGCTAGCGAATGGACATTTGGGGAGGGGCCGGGATTGGGGGTGTCCTGTTGAGGCAGTTTACTCACTAAATACTGTAGGTGTCAGACTTGAGAAGGGAGTGAGTATGTAACAACAGCTGATTTGAATAAGAACGAGCAGGTAAGAGTAACCACTTTGCTTGATTTGCAGATGTGGAAAGAGGCGGAAAGTCTGTAAAGATCTGGTAACACGGAAGGGTCTGGATGGGTAAGACTTTTTCCAAATATCTTAAGGCTACTTTTTTTTTTTGAAGGTAAAAATTGGCAGAAAATGTCAAGTATTGTTCCACTGTGACCTTCATGAATTTATGTTGCACAATTACTATTCACCAAAACAAGGCCAAAATGATTCATGTTCCGTTTCAAGTTAGTGTTGCGTTTGTTTGTTGAGCTGGTATCGCCTGGCTCAAAGTGCCCCCCCCCCCAAAAAAAAGTCTTAAATGGCATCATAGACGATCCTTTCACATCTCGACAGTTTTTAACTTTTCTTGGCATTTCCTGCTTCAAGAAGTACAAGCTCAACATTTGGCCATAGTATGAATCATTTTTAACTGAATATCATCCTACATACCAAAGCCTTATGAATCAAAACCATGTGCGTGTTCAATAAGCATGGGACATTTACTGGTTCCAAGGTATACAGCGGTTTTAAGTCAGATTCTAAAAGCCACTAAAACCTTTTATACCAGCCGTATGAGGTAGTTACTATTTTTATTTTATATAGTCAGTGTGGCTAAAGTAACAGGATCCCCACCTGTCCCGTAGTCAGTGCAAGCAGTCAGTGAGCCCAATTCCTTTTCCCCTTATCAAATGTTAATTTATTTTTTAAAACATTTTGAACATGGCTAGTGTAGGAGTTGGTTGTAGGGTGATGTTTTCATGGAACAGAAACTTGCCAAGCTAATTGTTTGTCATTGATGCACCGGCAGCCATTTGATGGCAACATCACATTCAGCCTTGCCATGCCCAAGGTCGAATTTAATCCACAATGCAGAGCCCTGGCCTGAGGTTATTCACGCAATGGCACATAAAAACTTGTTCCAGTTGGCCTTTCTTGCCTGTTGGGCCATGCATTTTTTTTTAATGTGATTGGAACTTTAACAAACCAATTTCATCGCCACAGTCTGAAAGCTGTATCAAATGTAGTGTCGTAAGGTCACACACGAGACATGGCACAAAGGAGGGTGTGTCTCTAACTGCTATTAGCGTTCACTAGACTTTATGGCTTGAGCTGGAATAAAGGTGTTTTTCCAATGTTTATTTTTCTGTTTCGTTTGATGTCAAGCTCTTGGTGACATAATGTTTACAACCTTTTCAAAAGTAAATCTATGACATGTTTCTGACCTGTTTACTACCTGTGTCACTTTTGATTTATCGCACATGCACACGCAACATCTGGGCTTGGCAGTTCAAGGTAGTGTTTGTGTGTGAAAGTGCACGGCAGGCAAATTGTGCGTTGAGTACGCGGCCGCTGTCAGATCATTGTAAAAGTCATGCATGCATCAACAATCGTGGCCTTTGTTGTGCAATCCAAAAAGCAGCGGGCGTGATTTGTCGCCAGATCGCCGTATTAAAAGATTTGGGTTACTGCACAAACAGCAGTGCTGTAAACGAAGGGCACCTGATTGGGAAATTGGGTAAAAGCCGATAAACACTTGTGGTATCTGGACCAAGTTGCATTCATTTGCAGCTCTGCCAAGTCCACAAGTAACTGAAACGTTGCGAGTTATATAATGGCGCCTCAGACTTTATGTCCATCTGGCATCGATCTGTTTCGGGCTGTCATACAACTTTACAGTGCTTCCATCAACAAATAAATAAATCAAGGCTGTATGGCTTTAGGATGGTTTATTGAAAAGCTTAAGAACCCGTGCAGCAAATCAAAGGGATTATAGTTCAAAATCTTTCATTTAGTTAGCATACGCAATATCTATACAGTATGAATATTTACATGTACAGTAACAATTGTCGTCATCTCAGCTGTATATCACACCTATTTACAAATAATCACGTAGAATATGGAGGCAGAGTACAAAAGAGATAAAATATCAAAAATATTACATTACAACATCCAAAAAGAACCACAAACTATACAAGAGTTCTGCAGAGCTACCGATGCTTAAAGCTGAAAGTCGTTGCATAGTGCTACTGACTACATGACCGCAGTACCTTACGCCAAATATAGGGGGCTGGTTTTAGCTCTTGATCAAAGTCTTTTTAGGGCGAGGAACGAGGAAGACGCTGCCTTCGCTCGACTGCTGCAGCGAGAAGTCAGACGGGGAGATGCCGTTGCCGTCCTCGTCCCTCAGCATGCCGAACACCTCCAGGTACAGGCTGTTCAGCTTCCTCTTCATCTCTCTCAGGCTGCTGGCGTTGCGGGACTTCTCGCCCAGCAGGCGTTCTTTCTCCTCCTTGAGCGAGTCCAGGTCATTCTCCAGCCCCACGATGTTCTCCATCTTGCGCTTGCGGCAGTTCTGGGCCGCCACTTTGTTCTTGCCGCGTCGCCGGATGTCCCGGATCAGGGCCAGCTGGGCCTCGTTCAATTGGCTCTTGGTGATGACCTCGTTGTAGTCATCGACGGGCAGGTTTATGATCATGTCGACGCCGAAGGGGATCTTGAGGGCCTTGGCCCTCTGCTCGTCTCTGGAGAGACGCAAATCCGACCTTCTCTTGCGTTTGTCTTTAGTGAAGGGCGAGGAGCTGTGCCCACTGTCCTCGACCGGATCCGTCATTTCTTGTTTGGTCTCGTTGTGCTGGGTTTGAAGCTGGCCCGCTAATGTGGACAGAGGAAATGCTCGCTGGACGTCATCTGGTTGAAAGTTTAAAGAGAACATCTCAGAGTAGTCAGACTTCGCGCTGCCCGGGTTCTGGTCCATCTCCTCCATGTCGGAATCGCTGCCGTCAAAACCCTCATCTCCATACAGAGATTTCCCAGGCGAGCATGCGTGGGGACTTGAGGAGAGTCCAGAGTCTAAGTCGGGCACTTCTGCGGACACATTGTGTCTGTCCTGCTCAAATGTATCACCGGGTGAGAGGCTGTACAAGTTCTGGACATCGGACAGGAGATTACGTTCTGTTCCCTCGAGGTCTTGTTGGCTGCCGCCTTCCTCCAACATAGCGTCAGGGTAAAATGTGTTGCAAAAGTTATTCAGGTTGAAGTGAGTATTTAACTCGGGAACTTCTGGCTTTATTTGGTTCCCGTTGTCTGGTGGGGTCACGTTGGGAACTGAGCCATCAAATGTATTCATAAAACCCGTAGGACACATATTTAAATTGGTTTTCTCTTGGGCCGGATTGGATATTGGGTAAAAGGAGTAGTTTGGATCCTGTGCATCGGCGCTGTTTGGTAGTGGATAGGGCGCTGTCTCCAGTGTGTCTTCCAATTGTTGGCTCAGACACTGCAAGGAATAAAAAAAGGAAAAATAAATGAACAGCAATTCCAATGCCAAGCTTTTTGTTGTGTTGAGTGATACAGTAGAATGATTTCAAACCAAACATTTTTTGACCCCAAAAGGCCACCATACTTCTATACTGCTATATAGTGCTAGTAAGCTAACCTGTGTAAGTGGACGATTTTGGCAGACATTAATCCTGTGCTATTAATATTCAACTTGCGTCATACAGATTGTCGTCAGAATTTGTGACACACCTGGCAACTAAATGACTACTTAAAAACAGCTTGGCTCACGTGAAGGCAAGTCTACATTTTTTCCCCCAAACACTGTTGTTTATTTAATACAATATATTTACTTGTAGAACAGAATTTCTATTCTGTGACACTATTTGACTACAGCGCCCTCGGCTAAATCTGGTATATTCTCTCCCACATGTCCCGTATGTAAAACCCTTTGTGCACACTTAATGTAGTGGCTAGAGACCCCTCCCTACTGTGCTAGTAAGGTGGGTCCAGCGATATCTCGAAGACGCAGCAGGGAGGGATCGTTGAGAGCTTGTCAGTACAAGCGACTGCTGTGAAACTTAAGCCATGCCCATTACCTCGAGCTGTTATGAGTGCCTTCCAAAGTGGAAAAAAAATGTCAAGTTGCCACACTACTACTTGAGCACTGCCAGCCTCGAAAGTAATTAAAGTGGAGTTTCGTGTCTGTTCGTACATTTGGCCTGCGCCCAAAAAAAGGTACCGGTGAATTGCGCAGCTCGCACCTGCAGCTCAGGAAGTGAGAGCAGCTCCATCCAGGCTTGCTCAATATCCAGAGACATCTTCTGTGGCTGGGAAGCAGTCAGGGCATCTGGTGAAAGCGTATGCGGGGCCAAAGAGGGCTGCTCGGGGGACATCATGGCAACACTGCTGCTGCGGCTGCTAGCTACAGACGCGCCACTCGAGTCCAGACAAACGGACGCATCCTAGGAGGTAAAGCACGCGGTCGCCAGGGTTTTAAAGGTGGTGGCGAAGGAAACCGTTGTTGTTGTTATGAGCTTCTTACCTCATTTTCCTCAAGGGGAAACGTGTCTGCGAGGAGCTGCAAGCATTCGTCAAATGACCACGGCTCAGCACCCTGCTGTGTGAAGCTGACATCCTGCAAATAGAGGTTGATAGAGCTGCAGTTATGTACCAGCTAGCGGGTACACACGTTTGAGAAGTGTCCAGTAGTATGTTGGCTTACAAGTAGGTCTGAACGGTTTTGAAAAATGCCCCCAACTTGTCCTCGCAAGGTTCACTGCTTGAGTGGAACGAAATTCAAACTCTAAGTACCATAATGCCCTTCCTTTTGGGCAAGGAGAGCCAATATACTTTTAGCTGTTTATGGAGTGGTCCAAACAGTCAAATACAAAAAGAACTCCTGATCCTGGCCAACAGTCGAGCTGATGTCACTCACTTGGCCACACCCCTTAAAGACACCCACCTAAAACATGATTAGTGCAATATATGCAGTAATTATACTTTATGAAACTTGTTCATCTCATAGCTGTCCCCTTTTTAAATGACTACTATTTCACTTTATTTTTTCCTTAGCTGGGACAGATTAATGGCATTTTCACTTCATTTCAATGAGGAAATTGTATCGAAGTCTGTAGCTTCAAAGACAAGCAAAACAACAGGGCCAACTTAGCCTAACTAATGACGCACGGCGGTAACCTAGCAACAACGAGGGAGCAGCCTATCACAAGAAAGGGGAGTAGGTTGGGCCTTTTATGAACAATAGCGCTCACGTGCGGGTACCTGCGCAGCCTCCAGGGGCGTGGCGGCCGACTGCAGCCGAACGTTGGGCCTCGGCACGTACTCGCCCGTCTCCTCGTCCAGCTGCAGCTGCGCCAGCAGAGCTTTCTCCTGTTCGCGGAGGAGGTGCAGCCGCTTCTCCTCCGCCAGCTCCTGCTGCCTCTGCAGCTCGTGCTCCTTCTGACGGTGGCTGTAGTCGAACACTTCGCGCCGGGCCCCCAGATCGATGTCCTGCTTCCACAGGATGTCGATCAGGTCCGTGTCCTGGGAAGAAACGCCGCCGGCGTGTTAGGATTGGGCAGGCGCAAATGGAACCGGCCTGTGGTGGATGTGGCTGCACCTGCCACACCCCGTCCCTCGCTGTACCTTGTCTGACAACAAGGCCGCCATTGACGGCACAGATGAATAATGGATGGACTTCTCTCTTTAGCCATTTGACACCATCCACACATAGATACACAAAAGCCCACACTTGATACGCCCATCATGTAAAGGTGGGAATCAATTTGTCGCTCTTTAAGTTTTAGAGTAGAAACTAGGGCCCGACCAATTATTAGGCCACACGATTTAACTGGCTGCTGTTGACCCTTTCGAAATAATCAGAATCTGACCGACCCTTGTAACACATGAAATAAGACATAAAGGCATTCAAACTCAGTTTTTTAAAAAATCTGCAAATTTCTGGCAATTTTTTCCATATTTTTTGAAGTGTTTGTACACTTAATCGTTTGTATTTTATTCTGCCACATTTGGCATCAGCCCAAGAAAATCCATCTGGGTCCGACCCGAGTAGAATCCTCATTTGTCCATATCATGTTCCAGTTGGGCTGGGCAATTAAGCATAATTTCATCATGGTTTCAGTTTTTCTTTCTTTATGACATTAAATGAAAGAAAAATGATTCCTGTGCCAAGCGTCTCCATCTGTAATACGCAAATTCCTGTGAACGTGCGTCACAGCAAATGTGTGATGAATATTCTTCTGTGCAATTTACTGTAAAGCTAAACAAACAAAAATAACACAGTATCTTCAAATACAACACACTTCATTTTAGAAATATCGTTAGGGCTAATGCTAGTGGTGAGTAGTACTGATTGATGGACTAATGGAAAATTAGCATTGAGTTTCAGGAGTGTTCTTCCCTCAAATAATGGAATATTCACAAACGCAGTCATACATAAAGACAGCTAATATAATAATATAACAGTCACAGGCATATATTCCTCCTAATTTGTGAATAACTAGTTCTACAGTATTAATACATTTCAATCTGCATTTTCTTTTCCTTTTTTTTTTCAATCGAAAGGAAAATGTGATGACCTTGTGAGGAGAAATGAAACTGATTGCAACGCATTTCTGTCTTGTTCTTTACTTCCGTACATGCCATGCATATGTTCCATAACAGAGGGAGTGTAGATTTAATTTACTTTGAAAATATACTTGATTCACTTCTTTTTCACTTGTACAGCAGTTCCAACCATCAAATCTCTCTATGCCAGAAGTCGATTTGCTATCTGCAAACCTCCCTACGCTTTCTAAATACTTCCTGTTCATCCCGCAGGGTCAAATGGTGAGTACTGTCATCTTGATTAAGGTGAGAAAGAATGTTAAAATGTTCAGTTTGTATTTGTTGACTTTCAATTATATTGTATTTCCTGGAACAGAGTTGTGGTTGTTTTGTTTTTGACTCCACTGTAATTACAAAGTCAGTTCCTTATACGTCTCCTTCAGTTTAGTTTTTACGTCGCTTGTACTGCAATACACGTATTTGTATTTCATCTTAAATCACCGATCATTTACATAAGCTGCGCAATTGATATGTTCCCATGTTGAATGTTTAAGCCTCTGCCTGATAGCACTAAAAGCTCAAATAGATTTGCCTTTTTAAACAAGGACATTCAAAAATAAACCCCCACTGCTCCCTTCTTTGAGTTAATAACCAGAACTTATTTACAGAAGGAAACCATTTCACAAGCGCTTGGAATGTTTCCTCAACTCAACATGCATGGAAGTGTTTAGAGCATGTGACTTGTATATATGGCTCAGAAGTAGACATAATTCATATGGTTTTCATACACTAGTCTCAAGGAAGGGGAACGGTAGTTCGGGCCCACTGCTGAACCAAACAGTACGCATAAAGTTAGGATTCATTTCAGCGACCCACGCGTTGCCTCTGTGTTGCATCAGAGATTGGAAGAGTGCTCAGGCTGTGCATTTGGTGTTCATATGCCCCCAACCCCCCTCAACATGAGAGCTGGGCAGACATACCCGTTTTGAGGAAAGAGACTCAAAATCTCGGGATGAGATGTCAAAACACAATTCCAGTCCCAGACGCAGGGCCTACTGGCCATTATCTCATCATAAATCAAGAGTAACAATTTGAAACAACGGCTTACCGTCACCAAACCTCCGCTGGCCCCTGAACAAGGAAACTAGTTCTTAATATAAGGACACATTTCCCTGTCCTCGCTGTCAAACAATGAGCAGTTGTATACAACACGTTAAACTGCATGCCTTCCCTTTAGACAACCGCTATCCTGTTGTTAATGTGTTAAACCATTACAGATCCACCATGAGAACAAGTCACACATGGGACTGTCGAAGTGGGTGAGAGTTGAGAAGGCTGTGCATGTGTGCGCCCGTGTGTGTCTTTGTGTTTTTCATTGAACTCCTCTTTAAAAAACCAACAAGGTCCTCACAAAAGGGGACGCCCTCCTTTTATCATATATCAGCCGACATGCCCCCTTGACCACTCATGATGGAACATACATGTTCCAAAACAGTTCAAAGTGCCCCCACAATTCCTCGTGGATTATGAAAAACCACTTTTACTTCTTTACAATAATGACAGCGTTAGATGAATATAGTCAATGGCCACAACACGTAGATATGTTGATTTATCCATGCATGTATATATACATGTAGTGACAATATATTTAGGGGTGTCAAACTAATTTTTATTGCAGGCCGCATTGTAGTTACAGTTTTCCCCGCAGGGCCGTTGTGACTGTGAAACCATATAAATTATTAATCAACTCCCTTGTTGGATAACTAGCTCTGAAATCAGATGTCAAGAATAAAGGTTCGTTCAAACATCGTTCAAGTTATTGTAATAACATATGAAAATACTCACAATATCCAAATGTTATTCATTACACGTGACAATTTGAAATGTCGGTTCAGATTTTAGCAAGCATTGTGGGAGTTGATATGCTTGATTTGCGAGCCAAATAAAATGATGTGGTGGGCCAGATCTGGCCCACGGGCCTTGAGATGGACACCCTGTGGGATAGATAGATAGATAGATAGATAGATAGATAGATAGATAGATAGATAGATAGATGTACATATATTTGTGCATATGTGCAGATATATACATACACACACATTCAAGTGTTACCACTCACACAAACACACACACACACACACACATATATACGTGTGAGTGTTGTATACATAAAAATACAGCCACAGTAATGAACACTGATAAATACCTCTGGAAGAGAGCATTACACGGCGTCCTCGGTTTACGACGCGGTTCCGTTAGTACGGTGGCGAGCTAACTCGGGTATGTACGTTAAGTCGGAACCTACGCTTAAGCAGCAATAAAGTCAAGTGTAGTTACAATATTCGTATGAAAAACAATTCTATGTCATAAATGTGTTTGTGAACGTGTGTATGACGTATTTATGCTGCTGCGTAAACTATCTCATTATGAGCCCTTCGTAACCCAGAAATGTATGTTATCGTAAATTAAATCAAGGACACCTTTATTTTGGACACCGACACAACTTGCACGGGGTCGTGTACCTAATATTGTGGTCACTGAATGTCAAGTCCATTTGGACATGTTCAAACGTGTCCCGATCAAGCCAAATCCATCGTCATATTACTTAACTGGGTACAGGAATTACCCAGAAGGTTATGGGTTTCCTTCCAGGGCTTTTTACACCACCTCGAACACTATTTATGTATGATTCTTATGTTTTTTGGGGGCGGAAAAAGAAACAGCGCAATAACATAGGTTGGGGCTGGTTGTAACTGGTTCCCCATCTGCCGTATCAGATCATTGATGATCACATGCTCTTGAGAGAAACTCGCGATATTGAGGGAAAAAACCAACACGCTGCTTTTCTATTTAAGACAACTCGTCGTGACCAAGCCACACGCATTATTTTAAACACCCAAAACTGTTGAATTCGAATGAGTTTAACTAAAGACGTCACAACTTAACGACTTGCGGAATAGCCAAAGGGAAGGAAGGCTTTCCTTGTAAATTGGAATATCGTGTTGCGTTGATACTCGGTTGTCATATTAATAAGGCTAAAACGTATATTTTAAAAGACATTTCAAGGAGGTTGTCATACACAAATGTCGTTTTATTTACCTGTTGTCCGGGATTCATCACCTCCATTTCTATCATCATGGACGTGCCACTGCGTGAAAAGACGCCTTAATGCGGCCCGAGATGTTTTTTTTAATTTCCTCGGTCACCCGGTTCAAAAAAGGGCCAAGAGATAGTCCGTCTCAGTGTGTGAATAGTAGAGAAAATATTGCTTCCTCTTACCCAACCAATATCACGGGAACGTGTGGCCCTGCCCACCGATTGCTGTTTCCCGATTGTCACCCGCCCCTCTTCCGCCCTCCTCAACGAGCTATAAGGTGTGTGGGAACGCCTGTGCTCGCTGTGTACTGGATCATATTCTTCACACACTCGTTTTTGGAATGCGAGTTTTGACACGTTATGATATTTCGTAAAAATTATTTTACGTGTAGTGAAAAAAACAGTGGGGGATTAAAATACAAAAAAACTGATACAGTGAAGCCGAATACGTCAGAAGACAAGATGTGTTGGTTGTTTCACAGCGCCCCTTGCTGGTCGATTATGTTGGAGGTGGTAGGTTGGGCCCTGGCACCCATGAAAAGACAACTGTACTGTATTAAAAACTGAATGGATGTATTGATGCTCACTGACTATTTATCACAACATACGTTAGTCACAAAAGTCATGGATATCTGGGTTTTGGATGACATTCCAGGATGAACCTAAACCGTTTTAGGTGAAAAAAATATGGCCTCTTAACCTTTGAATGCACACGTCCAACTGTTCGATGTTTCAGTACTTTTTGCACAGCTCGCTGTTCTTAACCAAAAAGCTGAATGGCAAAATTAACATGAGCTCTTGGGCCCCTGGGTGGGCCAATTCATTTCTTGGTGCAGTCAGAGTTGGTAGGTAAACAAACCTCTCCATGTTGTCCACATTTTAACTTAATAAGACCAAGACAACACAATGGGTCGAGTAGCCAAAAGTTTTTTAACAATTGTATGTTCTATGCAGTTCCAGTAGTCTAAACAAGTATTGTGATTAAATTACCGCGCTTGTGGTATAAGAATTAAGCAGCAAAATCCACCCGTTTTTATCCATCTCAGGGGGCGGCCATTTTGCCACTTGCTCTGACTGAAATGACATCACAGTTGCTCATATAACGACCAATCACGGCTCAGCTTGTGAATGTCACATGATTAAACTCAGAACACAGGTGAGCCTTGATTGGTCGTTATTTGAGGTTGTGCAACTGTGAGGTCATTTTCATTTGACACCAAGTGAAAAAAATGGTTGCCAACAGCCACATGAAACATATTGCAAAAATAAAAGTAAAAATGTGTCCTCCAAATCACTACTTCAATAACAATACAATAAGTATTGAATAATTAGTTAGTAACTGGTGATTTGTATTTTTTTAACACCACGAAAGTTAAATATTGAAAAATATAAAATCGGAATATGCAACTTCAGACATCACTTTGTTCAATCAATATATGAAATCTTGATAAAATAACAAATTACATCAAATGTAGCCACAAGAGGTGTTGGAGGGAGACTCGCTAGGTGGGCATTACAAAATTTGAGACAGGCATTCCGGTGACATCAGGTGTATTCATTCGGAGAGTATCCAATAATACTGCTCAGGGCAATAAACCATCCTACAGGAAACGTTTCCGTGTTACTTCCTGGTTGGCTGCCATGCCAGTGCTTCCAAATATTGGCAGGTGTGCACCACACTGCTATTGTTCTTGCAGGCTGCCCTTCGGGGAACCCCAAAAACCAAGTGCAGAGTGAAAATCGGAATATAACAGTGTGGGACAATAAAGGATATCTTAAAAGGCCTTCAGTCATATTCCTTTCTTGAGTCGAATTCTGAAAACTCAGAGCCCTGCTGCCTCTCCCACTATAAGTCCATTCCAGCAAGTACTTTATTCCATTCCCTCCTACTCCTGCTTTGTTCATTTCCTCCACCATGCTCCATCTCTCCACCACGTATTTCTCACAGCTAATCATCACATGTTCCACAGTTTCTGTCCTTGGAAGTGTTGAGACCTGTTGATTGGATGCTTCCCAATATCAGGGTATGTACCGTCATGGAAATCCTGGAAACGTTGCGCAACATTACGCTATATTGTCCAATGTGACAGTTGACAGCCTTAGCATAAAGTAAACAAGTGGAGCATTTGTCAGTATTCTCAACTGCTCTCCAGTCTCCAGAACAAAACACCAGGACAATTTAGTTTCAACAGCAAAAGGTTATAAGAAGAAGTTTAAACTCTATTACTAAGTCCTTCAGCACGTATGTGCAAAATGCAGACTTTGCTCCAATACAAGATTTACAGTATTACCTACAAGTCTGTCTTTGCAATATTCAGTTTACCTTTCTTTCATGTACTTATAATTGTTGTAATACAATGGGCAGCATGATAAACTAGTGGTTGGCTCGTTTGCCTCATACGTCAGAGGTTCAGAGTTCAAATCCGCGCTCTGGCCTTCTTGAATGGAGTTTGTGTTCTCCCTGTTCTTGCAATGTTTTTTTGTTCCCCCCCCCCCCCCCCCCCCCCCCCCCCCCCACTTCTGCCCACATTCCAAAAACATACATGTTTGGTCCATTTGAGAGTCTAAATTGTACTTGGATGTGAATGGTTCCTTTTTACAAAGATGTCCCTCCCAAAATCGAAAGGGATAACCAACTCACCTGTGACGCTCTTGAGGACAAACGCAACAGAAAATGGATGGATGAATGTATGTACAGTATTGGCACTTCATTAGTGATGGGTGAGTACCAACACCAAGCATCAGTATCGGGCCGATATCGGACTTATTTTAAGATATCGGGTACTCATAGCATATAAAAATAAATAAATACATCTGACATTGAGTAAGTTTTTTTCAGCAGTAATTAGCACTTGACTGTGGCAGTTTGGCAGTCATGGTGAGTACTCAAAGAATAAATACTCATACTGGTATCGGTCTGATAAAATGTCGTATCGAACACCCCCCCTCACCACAATTTTTTTTTTTTTTTTGATGGTTCACAACTTTCATTGAACAGCCATTGTGTGAACTCACCGTAAGAGCTACAATACGAAAATAAATGCGAAATACTATTAATAACTCCCACGGTATGTTTTGCACATCCTTTTAACTCCCTTAAAACATATACTTAAATTATTACGTATTGAAGCCTTCGGAATCTCTTGTTTGACATTGTATCTTGATTAAACATTTTAACCTTGCTCTTTGCCTTTGTGTTTTCCATCAAATAAAATAAACCATACAGAAAATATTCACACTTAATTTTGTTTTGTTTTTCTCGAATTTTTGTCATGCGACGTTGGTAAACTGAGCCCTGAGCAACTGTGAGGTCATTTTCAGTCGACAGACATTTTTGAGTACAAGGCAAACTCTATCAAATGAATCATTTTATTACACTGCGCAAATGGTCATACGAATGATATCATGAATTCGACATAAGCTTCGTGTAAGACAGTTGTTGAAACGTTGCAGGACTATGGTAGCGGAACATTAAGCGGCTTTTATTTTTTTTATTTATTTATATCGCGTATAAGAGTCCACGGAATAAGACAAACTTAAAAGGTACGGACTCTGTCACCTCTGTGCAAAGAAACCCACAGTAAAGTGCAGTCCACTGGCGTGCAATGACACACACACGCGGACACACAGGAGGAAAAAAAAGCTTCTTTCTCTTTTTTTTCACCCCCCAGCCCTCCGTGCTCTCCTGTGAAGCGCGCTCATGTGCACGCGTTCACGTTTGGCAGCTCCACGTCGACATTCTTCCAGCTGCATTGAGTCAACTGCACGCAGCACTCGCAGGCGGCCAGGCAGAAGAAAAGGTAAAACGACGGCGACCGAGCCAGCAGCCACCTCACGTCTTCAATCGCTTTTGCACGTCAGCACATCAAGTGCAGCAAAGAAAGAGTGGCTTTGCATCGCTCCCTCGAGGTGGCCCTGCAACGTTCTCACTTGGCTGCTTTTCGTTGCATTTTTAGAAGCAGACTGTTTGGCTCCTTGCAGCTGACCGCATATGTCTACCTCTCAGGTACGGTATGGCTTCGCTATGGCTACTTACTAACCCACTTGACATATGTTCTTCCCTTTGACGTGCCGTATTTCTGCATGGTTCCGATTGAAAGGTGACGTTGTGCTTTTTCATATTGCAAAAAAGTTGCTGTCAAGTGAATGCTCTTAAACTGGCAAGTGTTCCTGAATGCGTATTAGATAATGGTCAGCAGGAGCTTTGTTGACCTTGTGCACATTTTTCTACACTGTCAACAAGTTGACTTGGTGAAATCAGGTTTGCCAAGGCCTGTTGAATCCTCAAGGCTCAACAGGTAGAAGCTACAAGTGGAGCAACTCTGTAAAAGAGACATTATTGTCATGTATATATTAAACAGTTATCTACAAATGGCCACAATTGCACAAATTATTTTAATATGAGTGCAAATGTGTAAAAGACTTCCATCTGGCATGCAGTACCTGCTAGGCTTCTAAGCCACCTAGTAGGCCCATTCCATATGGAGCATTCACACCACAGTTACACGTTGGTCCAAAAAAAAAATATGCATGGGTGTTCTAAATTTGCTAAAAAACAACACATGTATGGTGGTTCTTGTGATTTGCTGCAGGTCAAAGGGATCTCCATGTTACTCTGCTGGATGAAGACAAACCTATGAGGTGGCACTGTGGCTTTCCAAATAAAGTTCTGTGATACACTCAGACTCTCACTGCTCGCAGTCAGTGCATTACAGAACTTTGTTTTGGAAGTTAAATCTTACGGGGCCATAAGGAAGATAAGTCCTCAAGCATCTGGATATTTTATACACTTTTTCAGTTTATTTTCTGAAATAAAGGTCCTTTGCATGTTCAGTGTTTTTGTCCATTTTGTTCATTGTGTAACCAGGATTGAATTCAAATCCTATAATTCACTATGATTGCCAGTGATTATATGAATTAAAAAGTGCTGGATACTACCATATGGAAACAGGAGTCATGCTGGTGACTCAGTGGAGGTGAGGTAGAAAAGTCAACAGTGAACTCGTGTTGGTTCAGGTTAATCTGAGGTTTACTAACCAAGCCACTGGCACATCAAACAAGACAATGAGAAAAGAAAAGAGTTTACAGTGCAATTGACACAATTTGTGTGGATGGCGTTGAGCACTTGAACACAGCAGGTATGATTTATCAGTAAGTGATGTTTTCACACACATTAAGATCTAATCAGATTAATGAATGGACTGATTTTTTTTACCCTTTTCAGTCATGTAATCTTACATTAAATTACCAACATTTATGTGTATAAAGTACATAATATATGATTTTATCGTCCTTTGTCCAGCGCTATTGAAGAAGCGGACCTTTTTTACGAGCTCACATGTGCATTAAAAGAGTGTGTGCTGTACAGTCCTGTAATTCCAGTCCTTGCATAGAATTAAGCATATGTGTGTCGCAAAGCATTCTGGGAAAACAGTATCGCGATAGCTTCAGGTACTCGTCCTCGATGGGGTAAATGTTGCAGCCGCGTGTGAAACTTAACGGTTTAAAGATTAGCAGAGAGAGATGATGATTAAACAAATTCAAAAGGGGCTGTCATGGTTTGAAAATAGCAGTGCTGTTTTATTTATCTTTAACTACGCTCACAGTACATTAAGTATCATTGGAAGGGTAATAAACTAGGATAGGTTTTATTCAATGAGGTGCCCTGTGTTCTTATTTAAGATTAATCAACAAACAGTCGTTGATTATAAGGGAAAACGTAGTGAGAAAATACGTTTTTCATAAGGTCAAGTAGTAAAATAATCATTTTTCCCGATCAGCATGAACGCCGCACACTTCTCTCCTCAGCCTTATGACAGTTACACTCTCTCCCGTCGCCAACACGGAAGCAGCATGGCGTCCGGCAGCGATGGTGGCTCCGAAAGCCAACAAGTCGCTCAGCAGAGGTTAAGGATAATTGCAGGGCATTTACGAGCACCGGCGGATAGCGGTTCCGCCATTGTAGCCGCCGAGTGCAAAGCCCAAGGGAGCGAGGCGGATGCCGTCCAGCAAGAGAAGAGGACTATGCCGAGGAGGAGGTACTAGGCTGTGATGGAGCGGGGGTTGTGAGGGTCCACACATTTTAAGCTGTGTAACTAGCAGGGTAAACGCTGAAAAGAGAGTGCCGGTGACCTTATGTGTGATGTATTTACCTTCAGCCGAACGCAAATTCCATATTGAGACGCTGAAAAACGTTTTTGGCCGGACTGCTTGTTAGCACTGCTCTGATACCGGGTGGGTGCGGCTTCATGCAATACATCGGATTGACTTTATTTCATTCATCCAGAGAGACAAAGTTAGTTTTGTTTTACTTTGCGTTTTTTTGGGTTCTTAGAGGACAAAGAGCAATTAACAACGAACAATGATTGAAACATTTTGTAGCACTTCAACTTGTGCCGAATGTTTGCCAAATGTAATACGAGGTTTTTGTACTTAGTGTTTTTATTTGCACGTTCTACGATAGCAAACGATTAGTTCGTTTCTGTCATTTTGTTTTCACCACACTCGACGTTATCGCGGGATTTGTTTGACAACCGAGAGACGAGTCAGTGAATCCATCTTGGACTTCTTTTGCTTGATCTGATTGGTTAAGAGTCATGGTGGTCTGACTTTCAACCTATTGGCAGCCGAGTCGCGTTCAAGGAACCTCGGATTGGTTGAGCTGTCATCAGATGTCAAATCGGATTCAACAGCTGCAGTTGAGTGTAAAAAAACAGTGGCCCCTTGTCACCGTACAATGTTCTGGTCGGTGTAGCAATACCGCAAAACAAATTACATTAATACATATCTAAGGCTTAATGTCGGTCCATGATTTTTTTTTAACTTAATATTATTCATTTGCAGTTTGAGTTTTCCCCCTTTTCCCATTACATAAGTATAGTACCTTATTTGCACTCTAGCGTGGCTAGTATCTTAGTGGTGTCAGTGGAAAACAATGCTGACATGCTGGTTAAGCTGTTTCGTCAATGAAAGATAAGCAGAAAGATAGGCTGAATGACACACAAATAGTTAAGTAAAATCCTCCAATGCTGTCATTTTTTCCCCTTTTTTTTTTTTTTTTGCGGATGACATCACGTTTTGCGAAGAAAGCTATGCACTATTACATTTGCATCACCAGCTTAATTGGTGGTTGTGAGGTCATTGAGCTCAGGTAGTGTTTGTTTGAGAAATTCCACTTACTCTCTGGATAGTTAGCAGAGTCGTTTTTGAGATTAAACCCTCTCAGGGGGTGTGAACAATTGTTCCAAAGACTTCTTTTTGTTGTTGTTGTTCTAGTTTCTTGCATGTAAAGTGTAATTTTTCCACATTAGTAAATATTAATTCATTCATTTGTACTAGATTGCTATCATTGCATGTTGGAGTGGGGGTTGGGGGAGCTTCTACCGAGTCTCCTTTTTTGGACTACCAACATCTTACCATAGCGCCTTGAAATACGATTGATCTGATTGATACAAACCATTTGTTCATTGGGCCATTTTTTTTGCTTTGACTTGAGAGCAAACAAGCAGAAAGCAAACAGTTAAGAAGCGCAGTACCCAGGTTTGCGTATCGTGCCAAATATGAAAAGTTGAGGTGATAAAGTTACAGACTTATTTGCATTATTGTGTTTGTTTAAAGAAAATAAATTAGAGCACCTTGTAAAAAAACAATCGTAGATTAAATCGCAATCACCGTACTGAGGGGAAAAATAATCACAATTCGATTATTTAAAAACATTTAGACTAAGTTTGCACTGTATTTTTAAGCTCTGGGCTTCAGTGGCGGCCACCTGCTATAATCACCCCGAGTTGTCATGGTAACGAAAATCATCTTCGCCATTGTTGGGCAACAGTATGTGAGGCGAGGTGAGCAGTGGCAAATTTGCATGAAACAGAAGCAGCCCCCTTTGTTTAAAGCTTTTGATAGTATCTCCTTTAAGACACGAAAATAATTGTTTTGATGAGAATCTGGAGGTGCGCCGGTGTTTCGTGTGATGTCACACCTGAAATATGAGGCCTCAACATATTGCAGCGCAAAGTGTCATGGTCCGTGTAGTGCACAATGCCGTGTTCATCTAAAGTGGGCCAAAAGTAATGATTTTTTTTTTTTTTTGACGGAGATGCTAAAAACTATATTCTGGTATGGCTGATTTAAGGGTGTGATTACCGCTGTAGTAGTTCCGGTCAGAACCTAGTTTTGTCCAGGTGAGCTGTAATCAGACCAGGTTTTATCTTTTCATTTGCTCGTGTGTGTGTGTTTCTGTAGAAGACAAAATACAAATAAAATATGAGTAACTGCATGTAAACGTCTCGTCCATACAATCCTATTTAGCTGAGGTCATAATTATACCACTGGTTGTTCAAATAGTACATATACGACCTACAACCACGAATAACACAAACTATTGTTGCACTTACTTGGTAATGCACGCGCACGTTTTGAATCAAGTCACTTTGTGGAATAACGCAAATGTGTGCGGTTTCCTTTCATCAAACCTAAGTATGGCCTAAATATGCCAAATTCAAAATTAATAAACTAACCACCAGAGGTTGCTGTAACTGCACAAACGGAAAACAATCTGGCCCTTTGAACAGATGTGCTGCTTTTCGTATCGTGACACGACGACGACGATATATCGTGGTAATTTTAATATCGCGATATTGAGATTATCGTTACGTTCCTCTTATATGTTTACGTTTAACACGTAAAAGCTTGCACAATACGATATGTGTTACAATTTTTAGATACGTCTGAGGGAGAAAAAAAAATCGCCCGTTGCTGAACCTAACCTTTAGCTCATAAATATTACCAAACATATTATTGTTATGATGAAAACCTGAGGTGCTAGAGAAAATGCAAGGGCAGATTCAGAATCGAAACAAAAAAACATCGAGAAAAGTTTACTTGGGTGTAAAAAAAAAAAAAAAAGACCAGAGCAATATTCTTTCCCTGTAATGGTGTAATTCCCATTTTGACCTCAGGGCCTTTATCCCTAAAAGGCTGGCATGTATATTCAGAGCATGTACGTGAATGTCTCCGGGAGAATATGGTAGGGTGTGGCCGCCTTCTACTTTTCCGACTATTAACTTCCCCAACGATAAAAAGGCCCACCTTGAATGGGATGGAAAGTTTTCAGTGGCTGAAGAAAATCAGACCGCATTGACGTCAGCCTTTTGTGAGGGTGGGTATCAGATCATCAGCCGTATTTGGTGTGTCTTGTTGCTTTAAAAGATAACAACATCCCCCAACCCCCCTCCATTAACTGTCACTCACATCATTGTTTCATGATATTTTCTTCTAGGCAGGATATCATGAAGTGGAACGGTTGGGGCTACAGCGATTCAAGGTTCCTCTTCAATAAGAAAGGCCAAGCAGAATTCACTGGCAAAAGGTACCGAACGAGTATCAGCAGCGCGCCGCTTTTGTACGTCTCCAACGATGCGTCCTGAGGCCAAATGACGCAGTTTCTCCGTCGCTCACGTGACCATTTTGTGAAAGGATTCTCATGTTCTCATGTAACTGTAATCTCGGGGGTGTTGCATCAATCATTTCATCAGCACCCCTCCTTCCCTGCCAGCCTACACCCAATCTAGCGACACCACACTGCTGCCATCTAGTGGCTATCGTGTAGAAATGATTGTATAACTGAGACTCCTTCCTCAGCCGTAGTTGCACATTAACGGGAGATTTGTTCAACTTCAGAACATCTCATTCTTGTAATAATTTACTTGTGTCTGGATTGGTGCAATCTCAAGAGGAAATTTCCAGTTTGTTTCCAGAAAGAGACCCTTGCTCAGATTACACTCCCTTAAAAGAATGCATAGTCGTATGTTTCGCGTGCTATACATTTGCATGCCATCTTTTTAGAACGGTTTGATTCATTTGACATTTTGTCATCACTCTTGTGTGAAAATACATATTAGTTGTATCATCATTTAACGACAGATTTTTATTTTCCTACATTGAAGCACACTGTTTATGTTCAGACTGTGCTTAATGTTGAAGGTCAAGCGTGAAGTTAACTTGGCGAGCCATCTTTTGAGGGCTGAAACTATTTCAAGCAAGCGTTCGTTTTTATTTGTTGTTGTTTTTTTTTTGTTTTTTTTTTTTTAACGCAACCCACCCAGGTCCATAGTTAGACCCACAGCAATGCGCTTACTCTTGTCTTGATGGAACGTCACACTTCCGGGTGAAAACCCCCCCTCGACATTGTTTTATTTGGGAGAATTGACGAAGCCATTAAACTACAAATTTATTTATTTATTTATTTGTTTGTTTGTTTGTTTGTTTGTTTGTTTGTTTGTTTGTTTGTAACACTGTGTATGCGGAGTTGTCCCAAAAGAGGTGACAGTTGAGTTGAGGAAGAACATGAGTGACTTGCATGAGATGATGAAAGCTATTTAGGGAGTTCATCGAACAAGAACAGGATGTTGCTTAACTTGGATCAGCTTATCAGTTAAAAAAAAAAAAAAAAAAAAAACAGCCAACCAAACAAAAACAACAGTTGTTCAGACTCTGTGTCCTCCCGATCTCTTATCCAGATATAGATTGAGTGGTATGATCATCCCTGGCCTGAAAGACTGGTTTGAAAGCACATTTGGAGCCAGTCTGCAGCACAAAACTCCGCCAACAGTAAGTGCTCGTCTTTCGTGGTTGTTCTGGCCGCCATGTATGGAACACTGTTTTGTTTTTGTCTCAGCCCCTCCTGAACAACAACGCCGTACAAGCTCCCACTCTTAACGAGCCCTTTGTGGACGATTTGAAATCCTCTGGCATTCCCTTCTCTCACGATGCAGAGGACCGTGTATTTCGCAGCCATGGTAACGCTCACTGGGAGATAGCTCGGTCTCTTCCGTTTCATTTATTTTTGGTTTTTTGTTTTTGCATGTGTGCTCTAGTTGCTTGATCCTTTTATGTCTTTTGCAGGACATTGCCTACATGAGATCTTTGCCATGCGAGAAGGGAGATTTGGTCGCCTTCCGGATGTGGTGGTCTGGCCTAGTGAGTTGCATCACGTCTTTTATGGCGGTGCCATTTTCATCCTTTTTTTTTTTTTTTTTTTTTAGACAGGGATATTTATATGTGTGATTGTTGGCTTGAGAAGAAGTGTCAGATGGAGGCTGATGGGATCCACTTTTGGCTTGCATAGCTTCTTCTGATTCTTGATGTTTTTCTCATGACTGACATTATTCCATTATATCCATCCCACCCACGGGTCAAAGATTGGCTGCATAAAGTCGAGAAACAGAGTTCTCATGCGAAAAGCGAAAGTCTGCAAAAAATAATCATTGGCTCTTGGTGCCACAAGATTGCAGCAATGTGCTTTTTTTTTTTTTTTTTTTTTTTAAATTAGATCTGGCAATGGCCTAAGTGGAGCTCCTCTCCTCACTTCAAGATAGTTGCTTGGCACCAAGATACTGCCAAAGCATCTGTCCTTCCAGCCCTCCTAAGTAGCTCGCAAAACGATTGGAGACTCCTGTTGTACTTTTCAGCAGCGCTGCCTAAGGGCCCGGAAAATATATCAGGCAGAATTTTAGTTTGATTTTGAATGATGAGCAAGTAGTTTCGCAAGGATGCTTGGTAAAATCATAAATAATATATGATACAAATGTCAAAATGATGGCAATCAATTACAAAAGACAATCGTAACATCATATCTCTGTCAATTCTTAAATTATTACGTAATCTAATCCTGAATGGATATTGGGCAGTAATTTAAATTTGCCATGGACAATCCTGTTGATCGTGTTGGATATTTTCATATTTCACAGTTCATATTTTCATAGTTTTCAAATTGGCTTACACAGGATCCTGTTCCGTTTTGTTGCTTTGCATCCAGAATAAACTTGCTCTAAGTAATCTTCTGATGTGTGCAGTTTCATTATAGTTATTGTGCTCGATCGTAGGCGGTCATCGATTACATCAACTATCCTTTAGTCACTATGAACAATTGCTCAATTTTTCAGTCGGTTCCATGAGCAACTTTGCATACATTGCACAACATGCCTCCAAGCCAAACAGTTTGTTTTTGACTTGGGTTGCTTGGGTTAAAATGTTCGTTTAAAGAGTGGCCGTGTGTCTCGTGTCTGTCAGTCAGCAGCCCGTAGCAGGATGCAGGCATTCCCCGTTGCTGCCCAAAACACTTTAGCCTGTTTTCGTGCCTCCTCCCCCCCACTAACTGTCACCCGATGCGGGCTCTGTTATTGGCTACAACACGTTTGTATTGATTTGGATCACCTCGCCACAAAGAGCACCACTTCATGCAGTCGTACCCGACCCGGGAAAAGCCTCTGGCAAATGAATACACGCCCTGTTTTCTTGCTCTTTCCTTCTCTAATGGCCCTGCCAATACAAACAGACAATTTATCACCTTTGTCATATCTCATTTCTTTTAGTGTGCTATGTGGCTTAATTTATGGTTGCAATAGAGAGGGGTGAAATGGTAATACAGTCTATCTATCTATCTACCTATCATGCTGACCTCAATTTTGAAGATGAAGTCTTATGTCTTTGCAGACTGCCACAATGATGTCGTCAAAGTTGTGGAACTGGCATGCAAACACAACGTTTGCGTAATACCATACGGAGGTGAGTTTTCAAAGCGCCGGTCTGCCTGGAATTGAATACTGGTAGATTATCTGCACTTATATTTCATGGTAAAATAGTTTTACTTTATTTTTAATATTTGTGTTTGGTGTTCCATTGATGCAGTCATTTTCCACGCTTTTTGTGTGCCCCCCTCCCTCCCCCAATACAGGAGGCACAAGTGTTTCCAGTGCTCTCGAGTGTCCTGCAGATGAAGCTCGCTGTATTGTCTCTCTGGATACCTCTCAGATGGTATGTACTGTAAATGGCTAAATACCTTCCTCGCAATAATAAAAACGTTGTGATTAATTTTCTTTTTCCTCTCCGCCACCTTATGCGCAATAAAGTACAATTTTCACTTTTTATTGTATTGCACTTGTGTCTTTAAGCGACAGCAAGTCAGAATTGAATATGCAACTGTAATTACCGCGTTTACAGTTAGCTTGTTTTCATCTCGCGCATAAAAATAAACGCTACTTGGAAAATAATGAATCCCTTCTTTCCTGTTTTCCCAAGTTGGTCTTTGAAATAGATTAGCACATCATCCTTTTGTTTAGGTGTTATTAAAAAAAAAAAATCCTTAATGTCCATTGCCCACACGTTTTCCTTTAAGAAACAAAGCCATCATAGTAACCAACCGCATTCCATGAATCCAATAACATACAGGTAGCATAACACAAATCTAATCGTTTGGCAGGGTCCATTCATCCTAATGTAAATTCAGCTCTCTCACATGAACGTGGTAACGTGTAATTTTTTACAACAGAATATAATACAGCAAACACCCAGTACAGTGTTGTCCTTTGAACTGTGTGAAAACAATAAATATGCCGCTGTCCCACCAGTGGTTTGTTGCCCAAGGTCAGAGGTCGGAGGTGAGGTGACTCCGTTGTGCCAAGCAGCAGCAAAGCAAGAACATAAACGTTATTACCTCTGCAGTGTAATTGATGGCATGGGGGTGTAAGGGGGGGGGGGCGGTGACCCCCTGCAGGTAGGCCCCAGCCCAGTGCTTAGCGGCTTCAATAAGAAGCATATATTTTGAAATTAGATATTAAATTGAGTTTAACCTCAGGGAGCTGAATGTTGTGGTCTCGCTGCGCAGGTTTAGCTCACGCACGCATTCTTATAAATAACGATATAAAAGTTTTTTTTTTCCCCCCTACCCCCCATGCAGAACCGCATTCTGTGGATCGATGAGAAAAATTTAACTGCCCACTTGGAAGCCGGCATCATTGGTCAGGATTTGGAGCGTCAGGTGAGTGCCGTCGTATGTTTTGAGTGCTTAACAGGGAGAGCAAAGTCCTAAAAGAGCTGACGTTTGATGGTTAACATTGCATGACTTGACTTGGATGTACTGCAGACGCCTCCGCGTTTAGACTGGGCCACTTTGACTGAGTACTAACTTGTCATCATGTAGAGAAAAAAAAGGTCTGGAGGCTTTTTTTTCCCCTTAAGTCAGGAGACTTGAATCACATTTTCTGCCGAGGCCCTCTTGTGGAGGTTGTTGGGCATTTATTTAAGTGCCTCATCCCCCACAGCAGTGACACGTAATCACATGTTGGGACAGGCCAAGGAACCGCATTTAGTTCCTTCAACCTTTTTCAAAATGGATACCACATGCCTCACTATAATGCAGTAGAACCAAGTGATTTGGTCCTGGAAAATCAGTAATGGGTAATAATGAAGAAAAGCATTTTGTACTGTTCTGGTCTATGACTATTATATCACTGAATAATGTCACAGTTGACACATAAGTTGACTTATTTTAAAGAGCTTCCTTTTGTGTTTGTCAGCTCAACGAGAGCGGCTACTGCACAGGCCACGAGCCGGACTCCATGGAGTTCAGCTCAGTTGGGGGCTGGGTGGCAACCAGAGCATCAGGCATGAAGAAGAACATCTACGGCAACATTGAGGATCTGGTGCGTGCTCATCTGTTCATAGGAAGGAAACATTGTCACTCACACCTCCTGAAGTACGACGACCACAGCATGAGTGGTCCCGCATAGCGTGGAGCAATGGTTCGAATTTGTAAACCAAAAAAGGGGGAAGTCATATTTCTGTGCCAATATAACACGTTGCCTTCTTTTTTTTTTTTTTGCTTCTCCTGGTGGGAAAAGGTTGTCCACGTGAAGATGGTGACACCACGCGGGGTGATTGAGAAGAGCTGTCAAGGCCCCCGCATGTCTACAGGGCCGGACGTTCACCATTTCATCATGGGATCTGAAGGTCTGCTCATGTTTTTGTTTCATCGTGCCGTCAGGACATTTGGGCGCCTTTGCAGCTGTGTTCAGTCATATCTGGATGAAAAGCGGCAACATGAGGTTTATTCTCATGCTGACGCACGCGTCTGCAGCGCCCTGTCCTTGGTCTGACTGTCCCTGCCTACCTACTATTTACAGTATACCAGCTGCACCTGATATCCAAACCCGACTGACGTACTTGACTGGAACCAAAACCTTCAACTCTGCTCTCCCACCGAAGTCATTTTATTCAATGCGCCACGGCCTTTAATAAGCAGTATTGCCAAGCTATCTTTTTGTAATGGATATCGGTGAAGTGAATTGACACGTGTCATAAAAAGGTTTATAATTTCTTATCGAGGCCAAAAGATGGCGGCAAAACACCGCTTTTGTCTAAATCATGAGTTGGTCATGCCGCGGCTGCTGCCGGCCACAGCTCTACCTCAGACACTCGCACGCCGTCTCGCTGATGTCACATGCTAACCCGATTAGTCCCCGCCTCTTAAAGTCACATGCATGTCCTCCAATGCAGACAGCGCTTTTTGATGCATTTTCTGCTTGCTATTTGTTTTATGTTCGAATACATTTCCAATGTGTCATGCGGGAGGAGTAAAGCTGACCACAATAAAATAGATTTTGTGGCCGGCTCTGTAATGTATCCCTCGCGATAAATTTGGCTACCTCGTAAAATATAATGACAGTACTTTGACACAGATTCGGTTATTCCGATTGCTCTTCAAGGGGCAGTGTTGTCAACGTCACATCATTTTGTCATTTTTGAAAGTAATCCTGCTCGTCATCAGTGGAAAAAAAACAAAAAACATTTTAAACTGCACACAAGCACCTCCCCTCTCAGTCTCTCCCCTGCTCCTTATCCAAATCCACAGAGTGAGGAGCCTGTGGTCTCCTTGAGTAAATTGGCCGCACGCTTGCCACTGGGGAGCAGCCTGTGTCTTGTATTGTAACATTTGAGACGCCATTAAAGGCCACAACAGGCTGAATAAGCTCATCTAATACGAGTGCGCTTGTCAAGACACCCTCCGTAGTAACGCGGGGCATGTTATTAACTGCTGAGCCTGTTGCATGTGATCAAATCATCAATGTGACTTTTCCAACTGCCCTTTGTTAAGAGAGCAGCAGTTTCGGAACAAGTGAGTGCCCAATCCCAAAGAGTCAACAGTAAAAATGAGAAACCTCCACGAGCAGATATATGTAACAAAGAAACGACAGTGACTACTGATCCAGACCGTCTGTGTGATCTTTTTTTTTCTTTTTTTGAGGATAGTACACTCCTTTCAGAGCAGTTGAGCTGCGCCTGCCACAGTTGCCACTAGCAACTGAACATTTGACCAAAATAACTGCTGGTGGCAGAACACACACTGAGAGATTTTAGGTTCAGCTTGATTTATTTGCAAGTGGTATAATTTTTTTTTCCTATAAGAGTATGGAAAATGAAGTAAACGTAAAAATGTAGCCAAGAAGGACCCATTTTGTACTTTTGCCATTTCTTCAACGATTAAAACAATTTTTAAGGTTTTTAAAGAGAATCAGTGATAATTCGGTCCCAGTCTTTCTTAAAACAAACCTGAAGATGGCAAGAAGACAAATTACAGACAGAATCTTAATAGTCACATTTAGTATTTTAAAATACACATAAAAATGAGTCTTTTTGTTCACACTCCCCCACTTGTGCCGCCACGTTGCTCGACCGTGTCCACAATTTTACAAAACATCATTCTGAAGGCACACTCAAGCTTTTGCGAAGGCGCACTAAGAGATCCAACATGGGATCATCGAGTAAAACCAGTTCGTCCAACAAATACCCGAAATGTTGATTCGTCCGGCTTCAAAACACATTTTCCGTGTTTGAAATTCTTATTTCCTGCGTTCACGTTTTTCAAGCGTGCACAGTGGCTTCTTCTCGCGGAGCCCATAATGAAGACTTTTTGGGGGTCATAAGGTGGGTCAAGAGGTTTAGCTCGATCTGTACATGTGCTGCGGCTCCGGGCTTGCCTGCCTTTGAGAGAGCCTTGCTTTATTTCCTCATGCTCCTCGCTGATAAATCTTTCTTGCCCTCCCCTCCCTGCCCCAGTAGAAAACCAGATCCCTCTCAGTGAAATGTGAGACAAAGGTCACCACAAGGACCCCCAGGACATTTACCAGAACCCTGGAAAAAAAAAGTTCATATAAATGACTGGCCCTGACTTCCTTCTTTTTGCCCCTTAAATAATCGCTGTGATTTTCAACAGGAACCCTGGGCGTGGTCACAGAGGTGACGATGAAGATTCGACCCATGCCAGAGTATCAGAAATACGGCTCGGTGGTGTTCCCCAACTTTGAGAAGGGTGTCGCTTGTCTTCGAGAAGTTGCCAAGCAGGTAACTTAACACAATTGTACTAAACCAAGATATTTTTTCCACTTGATGTAGAAATGTATGTTAGTGTGTACCCAACTGACGTCATCACATAAGCGTTGAGGATCTTGTCAAATTACAACTTGGTCATAAGCGACAAACATTCGATATTTTGTCACCATCCGTATGAACACTTTGTTGACGCAAAAACTTTGGGTCTGTTTCTGATTTAAAAAAAAAATAATAATAATTTAAAAAAACTATATATAAATTTCAAAATGAATTCATGTTGATTCACATTTCTTTCCCCATTCTTCCCCCCCCTTGTCATTTTAGAGGTGTGCTCCTGCATCTATTCGGCTCATGGATAATGAGCAATTTAAATTTGGTAAGTTCTATTGGATCCTTTTTGGGGGAGGGGGGGGGGCGAAAATCACTTTCGCTCATCTTTTTGAATATTACTCTTTTCAAATCCAGCCTACAATTTCGAACGGCAACCCAATCTTCTTTTATCTTAGTCCCTCAATGAATGGCACTGGTTGTATTTTCGTTTCACCTGAAGATAAGTTGCAACGAGATGAAAAATGGCTCTCGGTGAAGTCGTCATTCCATTGAAGTTTTATGACGCCGTTCCTTAAGGTCTCGCCAATGCATCTGGCATCACCAGAGATCTGAGTAAAACTCCCCCCCCCCAACCTCCAGGGAGCTCATTATCTCGCCTAGATTTCCGCTTTTTACCAAGTAGGCACTTCTGAGCATGAAGCAAGCTAGATGAAGCGACCAGGCTTTCCCCACTAATAACTAAAACTCACGGCTCCATGATACGTTCTCGGGCTTATTAGTGGCTTCTTTCACACTTTTCATTATGTTGAGTACGACCAATTGATGCCTTCTCAGACTGGGATGACGCGTGCAATTTAGTCGTGCCCGACGACACGTTCGAGATGAAAAATGAGATTATTGTCATGATTACTGGGATTTTACATGTGGAAGGGAGGAGCAAAGAACAAAGGATGGTGGTGGTGGTGGTGGGGGGAGGTTTAAGAGTAAAATCAAGGGTGAGATGTGTGTTGAGTTATTAAACAATGGAAGGGTGCTGACAGAGCTAAAGGCACATAGTCAAACCTCATAGTGGACAAAATCAGGCCACTAAGAGACTGGAGCACGCGCTTGGAGAAATAAATGAAGTGTTAAGTCTCGGCGACATCACGCGTGACTTGATTGATAGCCGTCCTGTTGGCCCCCGGGCCCTCATTTTGCTTGTCCGCAAGGCACATTTTTGTGCGTCTGATCAGGAATAAAACAATTTTTTTAAAATGTGTGTGTAATATCGCGGCGTCAACTTAGCTTCCCTTCAGAAAGTTGCGATTGATAGTCACTGTTATTCAAATGTTGCCGCTCTATTTTTCCTCCCTTTTTTTTTGTACGCAAGCCCAAATAACTCTTGACCAGCCTGTTCTCGCTGATCCTGGAATGTGCGAGCGTCAGATGATGATGATGTTTGAAACAAAATCCTCACCCGCGTCTCGGTGGCTAACCTTTTAACTGCTGCGCCCGCAGGTCACGCCCTCAAGCCTCAAGTGTCCTCACTTTTCACCTCCTTTCTGGACGGCCTGAAGAAACTGTACATCACCAAGGTAAAGCACGAGCGCAAGCGGTCTGTGTCGGAAGCACTCTCCCCAAGTGTTTCTCATGAAAAACGAACCTCGGCCTCTTAAATCCTCAGTTCAAAGGCTTTGACCAGAATCGCTTGTGCGTGGCCACCCTGCTGTTTGAGGGAGACCGAGAGAAGGTCCTGCAGCACGAGAAGCAAGTTTATGACATTGCCGCAAAGTTTGGGTCAGTATTTTCCTCCTCCTTTTGTATCACTATGAAGGTGGATTATGAATATGCACGCCGTTCTCCAAATTAAGAGGCTAAGTGTACTTTCTTAAAGCTGTTTGTCAGTCCCAGTTGAAGTAAAACTGAAGTACCAAACCAGACAAACGAGATTTGACATTGACAAAGAAATTGATTCATCGGGTGCTGCTGGTGTCAGATTTTTTTTTCTCCTGTTTTTTTTTTAATGTGGGAATTTCAACATTGGTTTCAGAAAACGTCACTTAAACTCCTGACTTCATCTCTGGCATTATGACTCTTTTCTTCAGAAGTATACAGCTAACTTAGTCTTTATTTTGATAACACTCTGACTTTTTTGTTGGTTTTTTTTGGGTCATTTCAATATTTCTTTTCGATTACCGGTACTCCTTCGTACGTCGCAACAACAACAACAGCAGCACGCAGACATGTCTGGCCGAGCAACCCTCAAATGAAATCACTCGCCTCGCTTAACTTCACCAGCTAGAAGCAGAAGTAACGGTGAAAAGGACGCTTTGGGCTTGGTGTTGCGCTCAGTTGTTTGTCTTGGTTTGCGGTGATGGATCACCTGTGGATGTCCTCCTGCCAGGCCCGCCTTTGTGGGTGCTGATCAATGGGAGCTTCTGGGGGGGGGGATCAGTTACACATCAGGCTCGCTGGGATGCTCCACAGATGATTTAGGCCAACCTGAAACATTCAGTTACAGTTCTGTCACCTCACAGTGCAGACTGGAAAGATTTGGGCTCATGTTTCACGGAGTTGACCACTCTGGAATCGGAAGATGATTAAAAAAAAAACCTAGTTTACTGTCTACTCCCGGGCCACAATATTAGATACACCTGCACAAAGGCAAAACAAAAGAAAAAGATATTACTCGCTTAATTTACCATGTGACAAAGCTCTTGAATTAGCATTCTATCCATATTTGTTATTTGAGTTGGCTGTGTCATTAAAACCTGTTTATCCCCCTCCCTTTTTTTTTTAACAACCCATATAGTTTATGCGCCATTCAAAATGATTCAACCCCCGTTACAAATTCAGTTTATTTGCAAAGGTCAAATTTCTCAACGCAACAGCTGTTACAAGTGACCGATATTTGTTGGAAATGTGTATGTACGCTAATCAAATTATTGTTTGTGCTTTCGTTTAGCCGTGGCGAAGAAATCCAATAGGTGCGACAAAACTCACTATTGATTGTTGATGATTATTAGATTGCTATCGGCTAAGCTGGAGGACCGACCTTTTGATAAGCAGCAATTGCATCATAAGAGAGTTGGCAGGTCCACAGAGCATCCTCAGCTTGATTGCATTATTTCCAGTAAAAGACGATCAAGTACCGGTGATGGATAAGTGCGGCGCTGCGAGGGATATTTTCCTCTGGTGTCGGGAAACGGCATGAATCGATATAGCGATTTTCTAATGAGCTTGGCCTGATTAGTTTGGGTGCGAGATGAAAATGTGATTACGCAGCGCAGGTGATGGATGTGCGGCTGACCCGCGGCGACGCACACGGCGTGGCCTCATTGATCTGCACATTGTTGGATTGACAGGCTCGCACGCAGCTGCCGTGAAAGTGGCTCACAAAGAAGCCGCTGTTAAATATTAACCCTGTTATCTTTTTTTTCCAGAGGCCTGGCAGCCGGAGAGGACAATGGGCAGAGGGGCTACATGTTGACCTTTGTCATCGCTTACCTCCGGGTGGGTGACCGCTCTCGCTTTGGGTTTTTTTTTTTTTTGGAGCTGATGGGCAGGGCCTCTAACAGAACACCAGGAACCTTCACAATAGGACCTCCAGCGCTTTGATGTGATGTGGTCATACTTATTGTGTGTTGATTTTGAGTATTACTCTTCTTTTTTTTTTTTAACCAATTCCCATGTAGCATTCAAAGGCTAACCCATGACTGGATTACATTCTATAAGACCTTCAAAGAGAGAGAAAGACTAGTTTAAAAAAAATAAAAAAGGAGGCGCCGTGGGGAGAAGAAAAAGAAAGATGGAGAAAAAGAAATTGAAGACAGGGGGAGGGAAAAAGTGAAAAAGAAAGCAAGCAAAAGAGTGGTTAGATGGGTCGATGCAAGCACAAGGTGGTTTGATGATGTATTGGTAGATGATGAGTTGAAAGAGAGCTACTCAACTCCACCTTTATGCCTCATATTTGCCATTAGGACAAAAACACCCGCTTTAAAACAAAATATTATCTGAATGTTTCATCGGATCTTCCTTTGCTCAATTTACACCGTTTAGTGAATACTTTTTAAAATCACTTTTTCTGAGATACATATATGATGTTGCTATTCTTCTCTGGACAGGACTTGGGGATGGACTACTATGTGATAGGCGAGTCCTTTGAGACCTCTGTTCCTTGGGACAGGTAAATAAACCATTGTGATTATTATTATTATTATTTATTCATTTATTTTTTTTGCTAATGCTAATGCTTTAGTCAGGTCAAAGTTCCAGTCAATATTTGCTGGCAACACACTCATCAGCCATAAATATAAAGCAATCAAATGGAAAAATAGGACGGCGCTAACTTAGTCTTCTCTTTTGTGCCATGTGATGACATCATTTTACGCCACTGTGCAAACAAATTCACGCAGTGGCATTTTTAAGATGGAATGTTGGGACCGGCGTAAACCGAGGAGCACCTGTACACAGTGGAGGCTCTAACATTGAGCACAAATAATTTTGGGATGCCTGTTGAGCTTGATTTTGTCGCAAAATACAGTGTTACCCCAGATATCTGATTTTGTTATTTTGTAACCTGTCCTAACTTATTAAAAAACAACAGCAATAAATAAATATGACTTTTGCGCCATCTTGGTCCCAACAAACTAAGTTGAAGTGAGCTGAGGAGCTTCATTTTGACAAAAGTATTGCTTTGCTCTCATCTTGGGTCATCTATTGGTCAATTCCTCACAGGTTCAGTTACCCCTGAGTCAGGCAAATTCTTCTTGGGGGAAAAGTTACCAAAAAAATGCCTAAAAAAATACACAAGCAAGAAACACAATGAGAGTCAATCCTTTGGCGCTTGTTGAATTGAAATCTCAGCAGTTATGCAACAGAAGTCGGCGCTAATCGCTCACCGTTGTAAGTCAATTCACTCGCTTGAACCAGAGTTGAGCCGCAGATTCAAGTCCCGCCCGGATGCAGTGCGCTCCGTATTTCTGCCTTGTTGTCACTGTCGCGCCTCGTTGCGTAACACGCATGACCGAGGGAGAGCGAGCAGATGAGGCGAGCGCAGGCGCTCGGCTCATTAGACGTCCTCCTCGCTGTCCTCCCCATGGCGGCTGGCTCACGCTGGCGGCCATTTCCGCACCAATGGGGAACCTCTTTTGCAGCGGTTTCCGTGTTTAAGTTCACTTCCTCCTACCTCTTTTTCGTCATTTCTTTTTAGGGTCAAATGTCATCCATATGCATTTTGTGCCACATTAAAGAGAAACAACTGCTATTTTTCTTCACTTGCAGGGTTTTGGACATCTGCCGGAACGTCAAAGCTCGCATCGTAGGAGAGTGCAAAGACAAAGGAGTCCAGTTTCCGCCATTGTCCACATGCAGGTAACGTTTGTGATTGTGATGGATTGCCTCACGGTTAGTTTTCTACATGGGCCCCAAGTGTGCTCCCTGCAACAGAAAGAGGTTGTTTTTGGGGAGGCGCAAATCACCAAAAGTGACCGTTTTGCAAGTGATGCGTTGTTATTTTTCGAAATTTAAGATGGAGCTGCTTCTTTTCAAGTATATTGGCTGTACAAAGTGTGCTAAACTAGCGCCTTAAAGGAGACGCACACTCTTAAGAACAGGTGTGGCAAATATAACCCATGATGGGTAAGAAATGGGCTGACCCAACTTTTGGGGTTATTCATTCATTCATTTTCTGATCCTATTATCCTCACAAAGGTTGCGGGGGGGGGTGCTGGAGCCTATCCCAGCTGTCTTCGGGCAATAAGCGGGGGACACCCTGAACCGGTTGCCAGCCAACCGCAGGGCACACAGAGACGAACAACCATCCGCGCTCACACTCACACCTAGGGACAATTTGGAGTGTTGAATCAGCCTGCCATGCATGTTTTTGGAATGTGGGAGGAAACCGGAGTACCCGGAGAAAACCCACGCAGGCCCGGGGAGAACATGCAAACTCCACACAGGGAGGCCTGAGCTGGAATTGAACCCTGTACCTCTGCACTGTGAGGTCGACGCGCTAACCACTGGTCCACCGGGCCGCGGGGTTATTCATTTAGTCCCAAAAATTAGGTGGGTGCCTGGGTTACTTTTGGCCCAATTATTTTTAGCGTGTATAATGTATTGTGGTGCTCTAATCATGCATCCCAGTGGTTCCCTCACAGACACATTTTCAGAAATGAAAACACGCAGATAACACAAGATTAAACTTGGTTGTTTCAATGGAGGGGGGACAAACACACAAAAAACATCTGCGTCATTGCGATGAAAACCCCAAATCATTTACTTTAATGGCAAAATACTGGTGGACCAGGCTATAGCCTTGTGACGTTATGTTTGCAGTCAGGCTTATCCCTACACTCGCATTTCAGCTAAGTGGTCGAAAAGTAAATGACACTTCCGAATTTTTTCGGGGTAGGTCTCAAGTCAAACAAATCAGTAAGCGTTTTCCCTTACTTCTCCGTTGAGCCTCATAATTGAGCCTTTGTGAATGTTTGGATGTCGCGCTCAGCCAAGGAGGCTTCAATACGAGTCCGTGACAGACAGACGGCGAAGCGGCTGAAGAGAGCCAGGCGGCTGCTCGATGCTGGTGGACAGATTAGGCCTCAGCCTGATTATGCCACAGCTATTCATTTCCCGGCTGCGGTCTGTCACATGATTGATTTGTCCATTTAACCTCTGAAGCAGCCAGCATGCCGGGTGATGGGCCATGTCAAATGAACAAGGGCTCCGCCCTCGGCTCCTCGGCGGGGAGCGAGGCCGCAAGAGGGGACGCTAAGCTGGTGGGGGGGGGGGGCGTCTTTACTCTCAGTTGAAGAGACTTTTTAATTTCGACGCATACAAACAAACGCTGTTGTTTGGCTTTTTGAAACATTGCTCAAGAGGTGGAGTGAAATCGAGAGTGTCAAACTCATTTTTATTGCGGAACCCTCAGTGGACTATGATGACTGAAAAAAATGTCATCATCAACTATTAGCACGCACAATTGCCCCTGCAGTTGATTGTTGTAAGAAATGGGAAGCAATGGAAATTTGTGACATGAAAATATTTATTAAACTTTTGGTTGAATTTGTTCAGGAATCTGGTGGAGGAAAAAAAAATCCATGATAGAAGCCAATTTGGATTCAGATTATTTTATTCATTCATCAATTTCATTCAATATTTGTCAGATGGTTCTGGATCTGTCAGATCTCACAATATCAGATATAGAATATGAATTCCTTTTAAGGAACTAAGTCAGCGTCACAATCCAAACCGTCGACGCCTTGATTTTGGAAGTGACAAATGTTAACATTCTCGTTTTTTGCTTTAAAATTTTTTTTTTTAAATTTTTTTTTTAGGGTGACTCAAACATACGACGCCGGCGCTTGTGTCTACTTTTACTTCGCCTTCAACTACAGGGGCCTGGCTGATCCAGTGCACGTGTATGAACAAGTCGAGGTGCCTCATTCCGTCCGCCTTATGCGAGAATTTGCTCCCAGATTGCGCACGGGGTGACTAAAGTGTGAGATTTGGTTTCTCTTCAGCACGCCGCTCGAGAGGAGATCCTTGCCAACGGGGGCAGTTTATCGCATCATCATGGAGGTAAGACAAGCTCACGTGGATTCTCATTTGCATCACGGGAGCGTTCTTATGCATGCGCACGTCTCAACGTGCAAGATCTGTGTGACACCATGACAAACCACAAGCACAATCCCAACACAGAAGTCTGCAATTGTGCCGGTGTATCTGTTGTTGTGATCATTATTCTTATTTTATACGTGCGTTTAGCGGGTCAGATCCCGATAATCTTTCTGATTTTAATCATGTTTCCTCTTCCGAATGAAGTTGGCGAAGGCCTGATTATCGGATGGCTCTACAAAATTACACTGTCAATACGTCTTAGCCATAACTTACCGTGCTTTTATGTGTCAAATTTACAAAAAAAAAAAAAAAATGAAACTATCTCCAAAATCTCATGTGCGAGTAAAATAAAATGAAGACATTTTTAAAATCTGTGTCAAAAGACATTTTGGGACACGCATAGTCACCTCTGGTTCAAATTTGCTGTTGACCAGCGTTATCCCGGGCCATTAATGTCTAAAATTACCCATAAAGACTAGATTAAACTGTAGAAATGTCCGAAATGCTTTTATGTCATTTTTGAGCTCATATTACAACCAATCCAATCCAACTTTATGATTCAAAGAAAACCACCGCTGGCCAAGTGCCTAAAACAGCACAACATAAGCAGCATTTAATTTTGAAACAATTGCACCACAAGTGCCGTATATGTTGCTTTCACAACACCTAAAAAAACATTTTGTCAAGCAATAACAACAATCTGCTGTCACTCCTTTCTTGACTACTTACTACTTTCCGATTGGCCTGGACTTTGGCACCATCTTGTGACATCTTTGTGCGTTTCCGAAAGAGCTCAGAGTCAGCAAATGAGCAAGGGGGGAGTCACTGGAGTTAGCAGACGAGCTAAAAGTTAGCCTAGCGTCTTCTATTTCTTCCGCGACTACTACCACTCTTTGCTCTTCTTTGGATTTTCTGTCAGTCTGAATCACGCGGTGTCAGCACGCCGCCTCTCACTGAGACCGATGTGGTTAAGTCTCGAGTACTCCACACTCGAGCAGAAAGCACACACACACTTGCCATTTATATATTTTTTTGCTCGTCATGTGTGTGGACTCTCACGTTGGTTTGAATTGTTAAAAAGTGAGAGTTGACACCGTTGACATTTTGATCCTGGCCTCCTTCATGGCTCCACACGGCCTCCCGCTCGTTGTGACCGAGCCATTCGCTCATCTCGGCCGCCACCAAATGAAACGTGAGCAGGGGAGGGGCGGCTGAGCCACTCTGCTCACGGGGCCCGTCGGGGCTCAGCGAAACACCCGCCTTTATCTATATTGCCATCCGCCTGGCTGTTTTCATACATCACTTCAGGCGATTCATCACACCTGTCAAAAACAGTATGCGGCGAATCAGCCGCGATATTAAATTGCAATTTTTCCCCAAAGGCGGGCACGGCCGCGTAATTAAAAGATTGCTAATAAAAAGGGGGGGGTGGCGGAGACCGGTGTAGATGACGCCGCCGGCGTTGCCGCTTGAATGCTGACCTCCAAACGGTGGCCCGGGCCACCCCGAGCTGCCTGGGGAGGTAACGCGGGGAGGGGGTTGAGCTATCGATGCGGCTCCTCTGTACGAGGCCCACTCTGTAATTGTGATTAATAACAGCGGGGCTCGCTATCTGGCCGCAGACGCACCGGTTTGTCTGGCTAGAATCAGCGGCTGACAAATGGAGCCGCTTGCGGTGGGTTTTGTGTATCAACACAAACAGATGTAGTCAAGGATGGCCGGGTTGGAGGGCACAGTGGGGAAATACACTTTTTTCTCATGTGGAGCGATCCACCACTGTCTCCGCAGAGCACGACACGTTGCTAACGTGCGCTAGTTAAGTGACTTTCGCCAAAGGAGTCAAGAGCCTCTCTCACATACAGATCCTGCAACATTGCCGCATCAGAACCGTGACATAAGATCGGGCGTTCATTTGCCTTTTCTTTTTTTGCAATCAAGCGTGAGAGCGCCACAGTCGGGTTGCACGCGATACGGGATCACCCACGATCAGAAAATTGGATTAGTATCGTAATATCTTTGCACAGTGGTGTTTTTCTTGATGATTTTTTTGCAATCAAGCATGAGAGCGCCACAGTCGGGGTGGCACGCGATACGGGATCACCCACAATCAGAAAATTGGATTAGTGTCGTAATATCTTTGCACAGTGGTGTTTTTCTTGATGAGCGCCCGATCCGGCATTATATTTTCCAAAAAGATGCCTTGTTTTTGATTGTCGGTGTTGTGTAAAGTGCTACTTAACAAAATGGGTGAATTAAAACGGCCTCTTTTAATGTGAAGGCAAGAACTCCATCCATTGAATTTTTTTTTTCTACAGTTCTCTTACATTAGGTCTGTGTGTAAACTGAAGCCAGCTGACTTTGGATGCGAGATGGTGGGGCACACGGCAGATTCTCACATTCACACCAATCGACAAATCTTCGTTGCAGTCTCCGAATTACGAGGCAGACATGTTCACCGTTGGCCCGCCATGCTGCCAATTTGGCTCGAAATGAGCACTGGCACCAGCTCGGCGTGGTGCGTGTCATCCCTGTGATTGACAGCTCATCCATCCAGGTTGCACCCCGCCTTCTTGCTTTAAACTCATGTGGGATGGTCTCGAGACCCCCGTGACCCTGAACAGGAGAAGCGTGATAGAAAATGGATGGCCGCTTGGAAAAGCACTGCTTCAAGTGGGTCACCGCTGCAGCAGCAGCACCGAGCCTGTGAGCATCCATCACCTGCGCACCGCTCCATCTATCAATAGTTGGGGGGGGGGGGGCTCACCACACCTCGACCTCCCTTTGTGGGCGAGGAGCCCTCCGTCCTCACCTTCACCGTCGCGCGGTGCTCGCGAAAGATGGAGATGATTCCGTTGAGCTCCACCTTGCAGCGACGGGGACGAAGCCTTTTGCCCCAGGCGGGAACGAAGGTGCGCCACGTCACGCCGCACCTCGCGCTCTTTGCGGCTGGCCCCAGCCGCGTGGTCGCCCGCCAGAGATTGATGGCGACGACGAACGGGAGAGAGAGCGAGCCCGACAAGATAGATGTGTAAATTATCACGCTGATGGAGGCAATGATGCAGTCCCGCCACCTTCTGTTTTCTCTCCTTCCCAGGAGGAGGCGTGGAGGTGGAACCAAAGGCAGGGAGGCGGGGTACGCTCCTGGAGAGCACCAATTTTTTTTTGTCGTGTTTTTTTAAGTTATGGGACAGCAGCTGATTGGTCCCCCCTGTCACCATCTGGAGGTGCATGTGCTATCAGAGCCCCCCCCCCCCACAGTGACCCCCTTGTCTGCCCTCTCGTGTCAGGAGGCCCTCACAGCCTGATCCCCATCTGGGTTGCTTGGCTGGACTCTAATCACAAACATGTCAGGGCTCGTCCTATCCGCGGGGTGGGGGGGGGGCGGGGGCGTCATCTAATCCGGTGTGATTACTCTCCTACTTTCAAGTATATTTGAACAGTCGGGAGCACCTGTTCTCAGACGGATGCTTTCCCAAGCGATAGCGCGATGCTGCTTCTCAAGTTGGCACCGCCTCCAGAAGTTCAAATCGCAAACCAGTTGACGTGACGAAAAATACTTTCCATCTGAAAATTGTCACGGCATACCGCCGAACAAAAATGTGACAAAAAGTAGAGATACTTTATGTCACTGCTATAGATGTGGAAAGATAACTGCTTTCTAGAGAATAAATAATACGGTTCAGACCCGACGGGGTGAAACTGGCCAATTTCCTGCGGAACACCTGATGAGCTCAAACTGACTCGGGCCGCAATTAATGATCATTTTAATCATTGATTAATCTGTTGATGAATAACATTTCCAGCCCTTTATTCAAAAACATGTCAACAAGTTGACAGCGGGCAAGCATAAATTAATTACGATTCGGTTTGGTTCATGACATGTCAGAAAATAGGCAGAAATGGGGAATTGGGCACTTTGGACCAGCAATGAAAATCCATCTTCAAAGCGCACCTTTTTTTTTTTTTTTCCCAATCATTTCAAACAGTTCCAAGGTGTCTCATGAAACACCTTCACCTGAATGCCTGTCGGATCAAAAATTGAAGAAAAAAAGTATTATATTGGAATTGGACCCTTGTGGCGCTACTGTGTTAATCAGTGAGAAAGAAGTCAACTTAAAAAAAAAAAAAAAAA